GCTTCCATTCAGCCACAAGAGCATTATTGAGGTCGGGCACTGATGTTGGGCGATTAGGCCTGGCTCGCAGTCTGTGTTCCAATTCATCCCAAAGGTGTTCGATGGGGTTGAGGTCAGGGCTCTGTGCAGGCCAGTCAAGTTCTTCCACACCGATCTCGATTAACCTTCTGTATGGACCTCGCTTTGTGCACGGGGCATTGTCATGCTGAAACAGGAAAGGCCCTTCCCCAAACTGTTGCCACAAAGTTGGAAGCACAGAATCATCTAGAATGTCATTGTATGTTGAAGTGTTAAGATTTCCCTTCACCGGAACTAAATGGCCTAGTCCGAACCATTATTCCTCCTCCACCAAACTTTACAGTTGGCACTATGCATTCTGGCAGGTACTGTTCTGGCATCTGCCAAACCCAGATTTGTCCGTCGGACTGCCAGATGGTGATGCGTGATTCATCACTCCAGAGAACACGTTTCCACTGCTCCAGAGTCCAATGGCGGCGAGACACTTGGCATTGCGCATGGTGATCTTAGGCTTGTGTGCGGCTGCTCGGCCATGGAAACCCATTTCATGAAGCTCCCGATGAACACGTCAGCTTCCAGAGGCAGTTTGGAACTTGGTAGTGAGTGTTGCAACCGAGCTTGTGTGACCTTCCACTTTGCGGCTAAGCCATTGTTGCGCCTAGACATTTCACTTCACAATAACAGCACTTACAGTTGACCGGGGCGGCTCTAGCAGGGCAGAAATATGACAAACTTACTTGTTGGAAAGGTGGCATCCTATGACAGTACCACGTTGATAGTCACAGCTCTTCAGTAAGGCCATTCTACTGTCAATGTTTTTTCTATGGAGATTGCATGGCTGTGTGCACGATTTTATACACCTGTCAGCAACAGGTGTGGCTGAAATAGCCGAATCCACTTATTTGAAGGGGTGTCTACGTACTTTTGTAGATATAGTGTATGTGGTATGTAGAAGCAACACCTATAGTCCCTCAACCTAAATGGATAGAAAACCCAAAGCATCTTGGAAAATGTAGTCTTTCTCTCTTAGACGAACTGCGAGACAGCCTGCTTCTGTCCCCTCTGTGCTCCCACAACTCCCACGACAGCAAAAACATTGACACAACACTGACTACCCCTCCTACGCAGACAGTCAGAGACTGGACGACTGACTGGACGCTGGTATGTAGAGCTCAGCCCAGGCTAGAGAGACAAAAATCTCCCCCACAGTGTCTCCAAACCAAGGACAGAGTCAGGCCTCCCTCACTGCTACTCCCTAATTACACATGGGCTGCTCCCTGGAATTGGGGAAATTGCTGGGTTTAAGGGCATCAAATGCACAGATCTGTTCATCTAAAAGATACATGGGTGGGAATTCACAATAGGAGGGTATTATGCGGATAGCGTTGGGATGTGGAACAGAATTGTTGGGTTCAAGGCCATATGCATCTATAGCAGACCTTGGTTCAATAGTATTTCAAAACTTTCAAATACTTTGAGGGTTTGCTTGAGCCTGACTGGAGTGTCAGATGGGTCAGGTTTGCACTTTTGGGACTATCCCTTTGGTTCCGTTGCTCCAGGCAAGGTCAATCAAGCACAGCTAAGGTTTTTGAAAGATTTCTATACATCTAAGCAGTAAATGGATGGGAGACAACAATAGGAGTGTTGCATGCGTGTAGCGTAAGGATCAGCTGAAAAGATGCTAATGATTAGGGCTACTTAGCGTGTAGACATCCGTCTGGATCCGACACCTCTTTGGGGTTTACGGGTGGTGTTTGTTTACGGTCAATCAGAGGCTGGAATGCACTTTGTTAGTCAGATTGTGTGATTCGTCAAGCCAGATTATTTCTGTGATACGAACAGGCTGTTGTTTGTTGAGGTAGTGAAAGCAATTGAAAGGTAGGTGTGTGTGTGTGTGTGTGTGTGTGTGTGCATGATTGCGTGTGTGCGTGTGTGGATGCTTGTGTGTGCGTGTGTGTGTGTGTCCAATGCACTTGACCGGACCCTGAATACCTCTCATAGTAGAGTGATGTGGTCACAACTCCAATCTCCATCTCAAGTAACTTCAATTGCATTTCAAAACGCATATCTAAAACAATCAAGTCTCGAGAGTTATTAATGCTGCTATTGTTGCTAACATGATCTAAGAAGGAAATAAGCACATTCTGATACTGCTGAAAGGTTTCTGCCTTCCAAAATCAGCAGTCCAAACAGTCCACCACACGAACACAAACACAACCTCCAGCTTTGGTATTTCAAGGCAAAATGCCAAGTGGATGTATTTTACCAGAGCTTATTGTTCAAATGTCAAGGCCGAACACTTTTTCTTTCTCGCTTTCTTCCTTTCCCTGCCCTTTACGCTTTTTACAGTCTTGAAGTCTTCCACTCACTCAACTTTCTTTCTTTCTCTCTTCCTCCCTTGGTGCAGTGGGGATGTTTTGGGAGGGTCAGGACGGGTGGGGGAGGGTCTGTGGAGTTTAGTGGGCCAGTGACCTTGCCAGAAAATGAGTTCACCACAAAGCACTGTTTCCCAGTGGAAATGTGATAAGGTTCTGGGGTCGAGCCACATCTTGGAGTTAAAGTTCTAGATGGAGAGAGAAAGGGATATATAGACGCAGGGAGAGAGGAAGGGTAGATGGACAGAGAGAGGGGAGATAGGGAGGGTAGATGTAGTGAAAAGGGGAGGATGGATGGAGAGAGAGAGAGGGAGTATACGTAGATGGAGGGGGGAGTATATAGATAGAGAGAGATGGTAGATGGAGAGAGAGAGAGAGAGAGGGTAGATGAGAGGGTCGAGGGAGAGAGGGAGAGGGTAGATGGAGAGAGATGGTAGATGGAGAGAGAGAGAGGGTAGATGGAGAGAGCGTAGATGGAGAGAGCGAGAGAGGGTAGATGGAGAGAGAGAAAGGGTAGATGGAGAAAGGGAGGGTAGATGACAGAGAGAGGGAGGGTAGATAAGAGAGAGGGAGTATATAAATGGAGAGAGAGAGAAAGGGAGTGTAGATGGATAGAGAAAGGGAGTACATACTGTACAAGAAAGAGGCGAGGGTTTAAAGACATAGGCAGAAAGACTGAGGAAGCATTTTGGTGCTGAAACGCACACTGTGATTAATCTGTGTTTATCATTAATGGTTAGTTTATCATCTCTGTGGTTTGGCTGGGCCTAGACAGAGTGGCTGAGTGTTATTAGGGACAGGCTGCAGATTGGTAATAGTCCTATTTTACCCTTTTACCCTATTTTCTAGCTAAAGTGGCAACTAGCATGCCACTTAGTATGCCAGTGTGCATGTCAGAACACTGCTACGATTTCCCTTTGGGGTAATGAGTGTAGTGTAGAGTCATCGTATTGACTTTGCATTGAGATTCCCCTATCTATATGTATGAATAAAGTCAACTTAGACCTGTTGGAATGATTGCCCCACATCCCAAAACTACTAAGTATCATATGATTTTCATCTCTCTCTCTGGACTAACTCAAGTGTCCAGTATAAATGCTTTGCTCATGACACAGTAACACATACGTTTTGACATAGCTCTGCACTGTAAAAAACAACAACACAAAAATGGCTTATGAATAGCCACATATATCCATGTTGTCATGGCAATGGCGACATCGATGTGGCGATGCCGCCGGTTGGCGGCTTTCTGGGATGGCCGCGATCAACTTCCCATAACGCTAGCGTTTCACAACCGTGGTGGATTTTCCCCCTTAAAACCCTCCACCAGTGGAAAATACGGCAGCTGCCACCAACTAAATGAAATTAGAGCGGACCTTTCCATGAGAAAAAGGTTGCTTGGAGTTTATTGGAGTCACCAGCCGTAATTGCTTATTCATGACAGTTTGTGGCGACATTAGGTGGAGCAAGAGGTCATTGTCATGGTTACAGTAGGTTGTTATGTAGACCTTTTATAGAACGGTCTTCCAGGCGACATTGATGCACATTTTACATTTAGCAGATGCTCTTATCCAGAGCGACTTACTGTTAGTGAGTGCATACATTTTCATACTTTTTCATACTGGCCCCCCGTGGGAAACGATCATGGGCCCTGAGTTTTTCAGGTAAAACTCATGGCCCTAGATATAGAGCCTAGTGAAGAGCAGTTGGGAATGGAGTCAAGCAGGAGTACAGATAATGAATGTTAGAAGAGAAAGAAAGAGAACCTCAGCGAGTGTTTACAACACCAGTAAAGAAGACATTATCAAACCCAAGGTATCACTCTCCAGCAGCGAAGCTCTCTCTGTACTCTCTCTCTCACTCTGGGTGAAGGCCAACTCTGGGAATGCGCTTGGAGAGATTAGATTTTTATTGCCGCAATTATGTTATTTTAAGAGCCGAAGGCAAAGACCCCAGTGTGTGAGTTAGTTTATCCTCGCGCCCTAGCTAGCTAAGTTGGGAAGACGACAAAGAAGTGTTATTTTCCATCTCAATCCCCTCTTTTTTTTCTCTCTCTCCCTATCTATCTATCTCTCTCTCTCTCTCTCTCTCTCTCTCTCTCTCTCTCTCTCTCTCTCTCTCTCTCTCTTCTCTCTCTCTCTCTCTCTCTCTCTCTCTCTCTCTCTCTCTCTCTCTCTCTCTCTGTCTCTCTCTCTGTCTCTCTCTCTGTCACTCTGTCACTCTCTTGAGCTCCTTCTCTATTTATCTCCTAAGTGGAAATGCATCACATCTTAGTGAAAATAATTTACATGTTGATTGTCTCCATGGTGCTGTAACACTTCAAAGCCAATCATGAGTCAACTCAGCTGATTACTAAATTAATCACTTCCTCCCATGGTCTCATTGATAACCTAGAGATGGCCGCCATATAGACGGGGGTCACACTTAGTCTTTGAAGTTCCACTATAGGGACCTCACACCCGAAGTAGCTACTTCCTGTGTTTGCACCCTGCCCTTTCACGCTCTAACACACGTCTTGCCCTTGCTGTGGCGCTTTCCCATAGACTACAGTGCAACGTAACCGATACCTCTCTAACCAATCCCTCTCTCTCCATGTGTTTCCTCCAGCCTCCAGACAACGGGCCTCCTCCTCTCCCCAGCTCCTCTCTCCCAGAGGGCTACTATGAAGAGGCCGTCCCCCTCAGTCCTGGAAAAGCCCCAGAATACATCACCTCCAGTAAGTGTACAAAACACAAACGCACATCCATGTGAATACACACAAACACACACAACGAAAACACACTTGAAAAGCTAAAGTGAGGACTGAACACACATTCACTCACAATGCACATACACCCGCCCCTGCAGTCAATATGTAACATATTATCCCTCAACTATCTCTCAGACTACGATTCAGACCAGATGAGCAGTTCGTATGAGTCGTATGACGAGGAGGAGGAGGATGGGAAGGGTAGAGGGAAGAAGATGCGACACCAGTGGCCTAGCGAGGAGGCCTCTATGGACCTGGTCAAGGACGCACGCATCTGTGCCTTCCTGCTGCGCAAGAAACGCTTCGGACAGTGGACCAAGCTGCTCTGTGTCATCAAGGACAACAAGCTGCTGGTACGGACACATGCACAGATACAGAGAGACACACTGTCACCCTCACATACAACCACACACACACACACACACACACACACACACACACACACACACACACACACACACACACACACACACACACACACACACATTAATAACCACATGTACCTGGAGACACACATAGCCATGTGTATTTGAAAAACGTTATCCACTGGTTCATTGACCTCTCTCTCTCCTCCCTCTCTCTTCTCTCCTCCAGTGCTACAAGTCATCAAAAGATCAGACGCCCCAGATGGAGCTAGTGTTATCAGGCTGCAGCATCACACATGTCCCCAAGGACGGCAAGAAGAAGAAACACGAGCTGAAGATAGTCCACCAGGGGGCAGATGCCCTGGTTCTGGCCGTGCAGAGCAAAGAGCAGGCTGAGGAGTGGCTCAAGGTAACACAATAACCCGAGACACAGATTATAACATTAAAGCGGACCGAGTGGTTCAGGGTAACAGAATGACCCGAGACACCAATTAGGATGTTACAGAGGTTTGCTACCAGACAATGATCCCAAGTTACCACAACACTATTGTAGACCCAGTGCCAGACTAAAGTGTGCATTGGATACAATGACAATGACAAGTTGGGTAAATCAGAAACAGACTGGTAATATGGAGAGGGGTCACCCTGTCCAGTGTACTCTTTGGGAGTGAGAACAGGATAGAGTATATTTCCTATCAATCCTGAAGCAAGATTTTTGTGGAATGTCTGTCCAGAGGTACAGTAGGCCACTGGTTGTTTATTAAGGGGAGAGACTACTTATAATATAATCATATTATGAGAATAACGTCCCTATTTTTGCGGATGGAGTCTTCTTTCTGATATTGTGTTAGGGCCTAGATGGTTATTTTGAACAGGTGTTTCTGGTGTCTGGACTCTAATGTCAGGATGTTTGGTTAATATCTGTAGAGCCGTCTCTCTCAGATCTCCCTCTCAGCTCTGTTTCTCCCAGGGACTCCGACAAGCCCGCAAAGCAAACTATCCTGCTGGCATCAAATAAAGACCTGTTCTTTTTAGTTTCCCCTCTGCCCCATTTGTTATTCCAAAGCCTTTGAGCTATTCCATTTCATTCGCAGTATGAAAGAGGCCATGGGGGTTCCAATTCAAAGAAACACACACATGCATGCACACACACACACTACAACCCTCCTCACCTCTAGCTTTCCTGAGATTCCCCTTGGAAAACGGTTGTTTATCGTTGAAAACCCATTGTGCAGCTATTTTAAGACCTCTTCTCCTCCATTTGTCTTTTTATTGCTCTAGTTGCTGAATTCTGCTCCTGCCAATTACATTTCCTGCGCTCTAGTTTACCGACAGGGCCCTTTGAAACCTTTTCATACAGCACCCCAGTCTGTGAAAAACCTGGTCGGAAAGGGCCACGTTAAAAACCGAGAGGCCTGACATTTCGCAGGTTAGCTTTTTTCGGCAGGAATCTTGTTCTGGAGGCAGTTCTGCAGAGGTCCCTTGCTGGCACAGCCACAAAGTCATAAAATCTGATTTTAAACCTCACCCTAACCTATAACCTTAACCTCAATCAATGTATTTCTTGTTTACGAAGCATGTGACGAATTAAAGTGTGATTTGATTTGAACCCAACTGCTAACCCTCATTTTAGTTTTCATGGATTTTTTCAATATAGCCAATTTTGACTTTGCAGCTGGTCCATCTACCGGATATCGCTCAGTTCATAAATAAAAGTCAACCTGCATCTATGGTGGGCCACTATAGAGCTTAATGCCAGCAGTGAAAAAGGGAATATAAAGGAAAAAGTCTGATATTTTTGTTCTGATTCGATTACTCCTTCTATTATATATTATATATGGTAATTATGGTTGTTGTCACGAGTGGAGTGTAGTGGGATGTGGAATCACACGCAGGACGCAGAGAATAAATCCAAAGCACTTTAGTGAAGTCCTAGTGTACGCCAAAACCGGCAACAGGTCACAGGCGAAAAACAAACGCACACTAGAACGACAAAGTCAGTATGCACAAAGTGCAGGTCTCTCTAAATACAATCCGAAAAATGAGAGAGAGAACAAAATACAGAACAAACAACCACACGACAGCAGAACAATTACACACAACACCAGACCTAACACAAGGGAACTAAATAGGGTGCCTAATGAACACTAAACAATAACCAGGTGTGACAAACAGACAAAACCAATCAAACAAGAAACATTGAACGGTGCCAGCTAGTACTCCGGAGACGACGACCGCCGAAGTCTGCCCGAACAAGGAGAAGGGGCCGCCTCGGCCGAAACCGTGACAGTACCCCCCCCCTTGACGCGCGGCTCCAGCCGTGCGCCGCCCCCGGCCTCGGGGACGACCAGGAGGGCGCGGAGCAGGGCGCGTGGGATGACCACGATGGAATTCGGTCAGAAGAGACGGGTCCAGGATGTCCCTCCTCGGCACCCAGCACCGCTCCTCCGGGCCGTACCCCTCCCACTCCACGAGATATTGGAGACCCCCCATCCGGCGTCTCGAATCGAGGATGGCCCGAACAGTGTACGCCGGAGCCCCCTCGATGTCCAACGGGGGCGGGGTAGTCTCCTCTATCTCAAAGTCCTGGAGTGGACCAGCTACCACCGGCCTGAGGAGAGACACATGGAACGAGGGGTTAACATTTTTGTAATCAATGGGCAGTTGTAATCTGTAACACACCTCGTTCAATCTCCTCAGGACTTTAAAAGGCCCCACAAAACCGCCGACCCAGCTTCCGGCAGGGCAGGCGGAGGGGCAGGTTTCTGGTTGAGAGCCAGACACGATCTCCAGGTGCGTACACTGGCCCCTCACTGCGGTGGAGGTCGGCGCTCGTCTTCTGTCGACGGATGGCTCGCTGCAGATGGACGTGTGCAGCGTTCCACGTCTCCTCCGAGCGCCGTACCCACTCATCCACAGCAGGGGCCTCGATCTGTCTCTCATGCCACGGTGCCAGAACCGGCTGGTACCCTAACACACACTGGAAAGGGGTTAGTTTTGTGGAGGAGTGGCGGAGAGAGTTCTGTGCCATCTCGGCCCAGGGCACATATCTCGCCCACTCCTCCGGCCGGCCCTGACAATATGACCTCAGAAACCTACCCACATCCTGGTTGACACGTTCGACCTGCCCATTACTCTCCGGGTGGTAACCCGAGGTAAGGCTCACCGAAACCCCCAACCGTTCCATAAACGCTCTCCAGACTCTGGAGGTAAACTGGGGGCCTCGATCAGACACTATATCCTCGGGTACCCCGTAATGCCGGAAGACGTGAGTAAATAGAGCCTCAGCGGTCTGTAGGGCAGTAGGAAGACCCGGCATGGGAAGGAGACGACAGGCCTTCGAGAACCGATCCACAACGACCAGGATGGTGGTATTCCCCTGTGAGGAGGGAAGGTCGGTAACAAAATCCACCGAAAGGTGAGACCAGGGTCGTTGTGGAACGGGCAGGGGTTGTAATTTACCCCTGGGCAAGTGTCTGGGCGCCTTACACTGGGCACACACTGAGCAGGAGGAGACATAAATCCTCACATCCCTGGCTAACGTTGGCCACCAGTACTTTGTGCAAAGGCAGTGCACTGTCCGGCCAATACCTGGATGTCCAGAGGAGGGTGACGTGTGAGCCCAATAAATAAGCCGATCCCGGACCTCGAGCGGGACGTACGTCCGACCCACCGGACACTGTGGAGGGCTAGGGTCGGTGCGTAATGCCCGCTCGATCTCCGCATCGACCTCCCATACCACCGGTGCAACCAGACAAGACTCAGGTAGTATGGGAATGGGCTCCACGCACCTCTCCTCTGTGTCATACCGCCGCGACAGGGCATCTGCCTTCCCGTTCTGGGACCCAGGGATGTAAGTGATCTTAAACACAAACCGGGCGAGAAACATAGTCCATCGAGCCTGGCGAGGATTCAGTCTCCTAGCTGCCCGAATGTATTCCAGGTTACGGTGGTCAGTCAGAATGAGAAAAGGGTGTTGAGCCCCCTCAAGCCAATGCCTCCACACCTTTAGGGCCTGTACCACGGCTAACAGCTCCCTGTCTCCTACGTCATAATTCCTCTCCGCCGGACTGAGCTTCTTAGAATAAAAAGCACAGGGGCGGAGTTTAGGTGGTGTGCCGGACCGTTGCGAAAGAACAGCCCCGATACCGGCTTCAGACGCATCCACCTCCACTTGGAATGGTAAAGTGGGATCCGGGTGCGCCAGCACTGGAGCCGAGGTAAACAGGTCCTTCAGTCTCCCAAAAGCCCTGTCCGCCTCAGCTGACCACCGCAAGCGCACTGGACCCCCCCTTCAGAAGGGACGTTATGGGAGCTGCCACCTGTCCAAAACCCCGGATAAACCTCCGGTAGTAATTCGCAAAACCCAAGAACTGCTGTACCTCTTTAACCGTGGTTGGGGTTTGCCAATTACGCACGGCTGACACACGGTCAACCTCCATCCTCACCCCTGACGCAGACAACTGATAGCCCAAAAAGGAGACTGACTCCTGGAAGAACAAACATTTCTCGGCTTTGACATACAGGTCATGCTCCAACAATCTCCTCAATACCCTGCGCACCAGGGCTACATGCTCGGCCCGAGTAGAACTGTACACCAGAATATCGTCTATGTACACCACTACTCCCTGCGCCTGCATGTCCCGGAAAATCTCATCTACAAAAGATTGGAAGACTGATGGAGCATTCATTAACCCGTATGGCATGACGAGATACTCGTAATGACCGGAGGTAGTACTAAATGCTGTCTTCCACTCATCGCCCTCTCTAATGCGCACCAAGTTATATGCGCTCCTGAGGTCCAATTTTGTGAAGAACCGTGCCCCGTGTAATGACTCCGTCATAGTCGCAATCAGCGGGAGTGGATAACTATATTTCACAGTCACCTGATTGAGACCGCGGTAGTCAATACACGGACGCAAACCTCCATCCTTTTTCTTCACAAAAAAGAAGCTCGAGGACGCGGGAGAAGTGGAGGGCCGTATGTATCCCTGTCTCAGAGACTCGGCAATGTATGTCTCCATTGCCCTCTTCTCCTCTTGTGACAAAGGATACACATGGCTCCGCGGGAGCGCAGCTCCTGCCTGGAGGTCTATCGCACAATCCCCCTGTCTATGAGGCGGCAACCTAGCCGCCCTTGTCTTGCTAAACACGAGTGCCAAATCCTCATACTCAGGTGGAATGTGCAATGCGGGCATCTGGTTCGGACTCTCCACCGAGGTCGCCCCTACGGAAACACCCAGACATAACCCCTCACACTGAGCAGACCACCCTTTAAGAGCCTTCTCTCGCCACGAAATCGTAGGATCATGGGTAATCAACCAGGGAAGCCCCAGTACCACCGGATACGCAGGAGAGTCGATCAGATAGAGTTGAATCGTCTCCTCATGACCCCCCCTGCGTCTTCATCCTAAGTGGCGCTGTGACCTCCCTAATCAACCCAGATCCTAACGGACGACTATCTAGGGCATGTACAGGGAAAGGATGATCAACCGGAAGGAGGGGAATCCCTAACTCAACACAGAATTTACGATCTACAAAATTCCCAGCTGCGCCTGAATCTACTAGCGCCTTATGCTGGGAACGAGGTGCAACCTGTGGGAAACAAACAGGTATGGTTATGTGTACGACAGAAAGCTCTGGGTAAGTAGGGCGCCTACTCACCTGGGAGGACTCCCCAATGTGTGGTCTGCCGTCTCCTCCACCAGGGGACCCTCCCCAGCACCTAGCCGCGGTGTGCCCTCCACGGCCACAGTTGGTGCAGGGGACGGCCCCCCCTCAGGCTCCTCCTTCTCCCTCCTCTAGCGCCAGCACCTCCGAGCTCCATCGGGCTCGGCTCGGAGGCGCTGGAGGGTGGAATGGGCGACCCCCACCTGGGACGTCCGCGGTTAGCGAGCAGGGTGTCCAGCCGAATGGCCATGTCCACCAACTGGTCAAAGGAGAGTGTAGTATCCCTGCACGCCAACTCTCTGCGGACGTCCTCCCTGAGGCTGCAACGAAAATGGTCTATGAGGGCTCGCTCATTCCACCCTGCATCTGCCGCTAGAGTCCGGAACTCCAGCGCAAACTCTTGAGCGCTCCTCATCCCCTGCCGGAGGTAGAATAGACGCTCCCCCGGCGGGAGAACTCCGCATAGGTGATAGTGGCGGCGTCTATTCTCCTCCATTCGGCGTTGGCCCACTCCAACGCCTTGCCGGTGAGACAGGAGATGAGGGCGGAAACGCTCTCGTGTCCCGAGGGCGCCGGGTGTACGGTGGCAAGGTAGAGCTCCACTTGTAATAGGAACCCCTGACACCCGGCAGCGGTGCCGTCGTACGCCCTCGGGAGCGAGAGCCGAATCCCACTGGGTTCCGGTAGTTGGACGGGCGGGCTGACCGATGGTGATGGTGCGGTAGGTGGGGGTGTGGGTACCCCGCTGGTCTCCCATCGATGGAGGGTGTTCATGACGCGGTCCAGGGCGTGCCCGATTTGGTTGATCCGATCATCTTGACCACGAAGACGCTCCTCCATGATCTCGGTAGGTGCGGGTGCTCCTGCTGATTCCATCAGATGGTGTGTAATTCTGTCACGAGTGGAGTGTAGTGGGATGTGGAATCACACGCAGGACACAGAGAATAAATCCAAAGCACTTTAGTGAAGTCCTAGTGTACGCCAAAACCGGCAACAGGTCACAGGCGAAAAACAAACGCACACTAGAACGACAAAGTCAGTATGCACAAAGTGCAGGTCTCTCTAAATACAATCCGAAAAATGAGAGAGAGAACAAAATACAGAACAAACAACCACACGACAGCAGAACAATTACACACAACACCAGACCTAACACAAGGGAACTAAATAGGGTGCCTAATGAACACTAAACAATAACCAGGTGTGACAAACAGACAAAACCAATCAAACAAGAAACATTGAACGGTGGCAGCTAGTACTCCGGAGACGACGACCGCCGAAGTCTGCCCGAACAAGGAGAAGGGGCCGCCTCGGCCGAAACCGTGACAGTTGTTTATTGATTCGCTGCAGCGAAGCAACACACTCGGGTAGCGCCAAGGTACCTGTGAGCAGCCGCACTGGACTGTGCAAATATACAAACCGAACCACAACACCCATAATTATCGCTCGAGACAGGACATTGATGCATATTTGGTCAGGTGTCTGAAAACATGCACGTTAAAAATACATTGAACCGATACATGTGAACACGGCATAAACACATGCCTTTCACCCTCACCCCAAACAATCTCACTGTTTTAGTTTACTTAATTGACATATGCATACTTTTTCATACCCAATGACCCTTGCAATCAGTGCGCCCAATTATGAGGCCCGGCTTGCCGCGGTTCGACGTACCCCAAAACAGGGGCCTAGAGTGGATGGATTGGATTGAAGGAACATATTTTACCATTAACTGTACAGTGAGGGAGGAGATATTCTCTTGGCCTGCTCTGTATACAGTTATGCCTGGGGGTGTTTGAGCGCCTCACAGAGCCAAAAAGATTAGAGTGTGGAGCGTGTGTTTGGATTTTAGGTCTAGATGTTGCCTAGGACCCCAGAAGAGATGGCCCCGGCTTGGTACGGTATGGGGGCTGAAAAAATTAAAATGACAAAGGGTTTTGGGGGAACCGGGGATTAGGTTAAAAGGAATTTTAAAAACCCGTGGAAAAAACAGTTCACCCAAAACAAGCTTTTTTCCAGTTATTTTCCCCCATTCGACCCATGAAGGACACCCAAAACCCCAATGGGGAAACCCCAAACGGGCCAAGGAAAGGCCAAACAAATCAGGTGTGCAAAGGACACCCCAAAAAACAAAACATAACACGCACACCGCAGCCACACACAGCCAACAAGGAGAAGGCTGACCAAAAACCGCCAGGAAAACCCACCGACAACAACCGGCTTCCAAGGACCCGAGCACAAACGCAACGCAAACAACACAAAAAGAGCCCACCCAGACCGGACAGAAGAAGCCAGTCGAAAAAACCCGAATAAGACCGACGCACGAAAAAACAAACCACCCCCCACCCCAACCTCAAATAACAACACAATACCCCCAAAACAACCAACATGCCCAACTTAACCAAAAACCCTCACAACCCCAAAACCATAACCCCCAAACCCCTTAACTTTCAACCATACTTCACAACCCAAAACACACCCAACGACCCACCTACCCCAAAACAGCTAGAGGGGATTGAGAAACTAACAAACCAAACCCCAAAGACCTCGCTCCCATAAAAAACCAAAAATTTTACAAAAAAAAAAAAGCCCCTAACAACAACCTACCCCACAAAACCCCCCCCAAACCCCCCACCCAACCCCCCCCTTCACCCCCCCCCACCCCAACCACACCCCCCAACACCAATAAAAAAAAAAAAAAACAACACACAAAAACCAAAACCAAAACACAACAAACAAAAACACAAAAAAACAAACAACAAAAATACAAAACCCCCCCAAACTCAACCAAACACCAAAACCAAAAACCCCCACCAACCCCCCCCCCCCCCCCCCCCCCCCCCCCCCCCCCCCCCCCCCCCCCCCCCCCCCCCTCTTCTCTCTCTCTGTCTCCCCTACTCTGTTTCTCCATCCAGAGACGCAGAGCTTCGATAATAATCACTCTTGCATTTCACATTAAAGATGGAATAATGGAAATAAAAGTTATCCGATAAATCCCACCCTAGTCGGAGGATTATGATCCAATACCATGTCCCTGTAATGAACGGAGTCATGTAAGACTACATTAGGAAATGGAGACGGGACTAGAACGGAGCCTTGAGGCGCTCCAAAACAGTTTACTAATGTGAAATCCAGACATTGTGTGGCTAATGAACTGTTTATGGAATCTAAATGTCCATATTGTGTTGCTACTTCATCCTCTCTAATCCTTTCCAGTGCTTTATGGTCTCTTGAATTTCTCTTTCTCTTTTTTCCCTTGTTCCCTTACCTCATCTCTCCTTTGTCTCTGTAGCGCTCCTCTTCGACATGACCTGCTTTTCTTCCTCTTCTCTACTGGGCTAATGCTATATATCTTTCTCTTCCGCCTCTTCTTCTCCTCCTCTCCTCCCTCTTTCTCTTCTTGTAACAACTATCCCTATCCCAACTATCCCCCTGTTTCTTCAAGCAGGCCTGGTAAGATCTAATGTTGTCTGTCACATGGTTACGTGTCTGCAGTGGCTGCTTGGCTTCTTACACTGTGTGTTGCCTTTTTACACTCACTGTCTCACTCTATAATCACTGTTCAAGTCCTATCCCAGTCTGGCTCTTATGATTGACCATTTCTGCCATGTTGCCTGAAATTCTTCCTCCGCATCATTTTGCATTGGGCACACAAAGTTTGACAACACCCATGTCCTGCACTAGAGTGTGTATGCCTGTATGTGCACACCATGGGTCTTTATCCATGGACATGCAGTATAGTTTGCATGGTGTTAAAGTATGGGATGTCACTCACAATAAGAACATTGCCATTCACAGATAGTTAATTAAGCATATTTTCCAGTTATATGCCATAAATGTTTATGGCACTAGTTTGATATGAAGCATATATGAAGATTATTCTCCCAGATTTAACAAAACATCCCTCTATTGGCAGATGAAGAAAGTCCATAAGCCCACCAAACCCACCCAAAACCCATCTGTATAATATCATATAAACTGTGTGATTTGCCACTCCCTGATGGCAGATAGGGAGACATTCAGTTCATGTCTGTCCCAAACGTTCTAGCAACGCTCTGGCTAGGGCCAAAACCATGGAGCCCAGCCACAGCCTGTAATTTCCCTGCAGCGCCAATAATGTTCGCTCCCAGCCAAAGCCAATGAACTGTGGTGAGCAGAGACGCTGAGAAGAACTCCACTGTGGGGACAGATGCGGATGGTTTTGGAGGGTTGTGTGTGTGTTTGAGGGTTTGTTGTGTGTTTGTGTGTGTGCATGTGCGTACCTGCCTGCGCGTACCTGCCTGCGTGTACGCGCTTGTGTGCGTGGTGCCTGACTGCCTGTCTCCACAGTAGTCCCCAAGTCACCCCTCGCAGGTTAGCCTAGCGCAGCATTATCATTAATTCACTCACTGCTCATGTGTCAATGATATTGACTCAATAAGGTGGTGGTTGTGCTGTTGATGGGTTGCCAGATTGGAGGTTCTGCGAGGTCATGTTAATCGAAACTGGCGCCCCGTCCACGCGCCCGTGCAGTGTGTGGATATCCATGGATATGCCATTCACTCTGAATGGGCGTGTTACATAACACAATGGATGCGTCCCACAATGGATGCAACAATGGCAATCTTCCACGGCTGCAGTCAAGTACCGTACAGCAACATGTGTATTGAGCCGTTGCCTTTTTTTCCTCAACTTTTCCGTCAGTCTTGCTGCATGTGTTGCATATTGCACTATGATCCATCTGCTGATGTAATACAGTGTAACACGTTTTTGAAATTAAATGCATTGAAAATGTAATGTGTTAAGTTCTGACAAACAGAGTGAAAAACTAACGGACAACTAGTCAAAGCTCAAACCAAGTTTATTCACCCACTGAGTCAAATAGCTGAAAAGACAAAGATATGTTTCCACCAGCACAAGTATTTATACCATCCTTTAGACGTAGTCTCCTCCTTGCACTTCTAAACACTACATATTTGTTGCTAGGCAGGAAGTTAAGTGATGTGTGTAATAAAACTGTGCCTTCTCCCTTCATTTAACCTGACCTGACCTCGACCCACATTCCTCACTAATCCACAGCTATCAAACCTTATCAGTGACCTCAACCAATTGATTGCCTTTTCCCTTACTTAGTAACTTCCAGCCCCATACTTCTTGACCCCACCATATACATTCCTCATACATGCAACCATTAACTTCTAGCATAGCAGGTATTTCAAATTAGAACCCAACACATGTCAATGGCAATCTTGCCCCCTGCTTGAAATTAACAGAATGTAACTGATGTATCATTGTAACTGAATAGTGCTGTCTTTTTGTTTGGCCTTCCTCTTCCTGTAGGTGATGAGGGAGGTGTGCAGCAACGGAGGTGACTCAGATGGAGCAGGCTCCGGGTCTCCTGTACACAAGCCCCACCTGGAGAAGGTAAGGAACAGAATGCCAGCTCAGGCACATAAACACACACACACATTCACACACCGGCATGACACAAACTCATAAAGAATCCAAAACGAACACGTGCATGCACACGTGTACACAAACACATCAACGTGAAGGTAAGGACACACACACACACACACACACACACACACACATATATATACCTACACATCTCTGTACGCTGCCATAGGGCCCCTCGCCTCTCTCTGTGTGCCCTAATAGCTAGCAGGATGCCAGGGCAGCACATTGCAGTAAAAGCTGTAATTGTTGTGCCAAATAGCACTTAATTACAGCTGTGGCACAGTGTGTGTAGGGAGGTAAAGGGAGAGTGTGTGTGTTATTGGATTTCATAAGCCTGGAGAAAACAGGTAAACTTACTAGAACTGTTGGAGCCTTATTGTACAGAGCTTGTGTGTGTGTGTGTGTGTGTGTGTGTGTGTGTGTGTGTGTGTGTGTGTGTGTGTGTGTGTATAGTGGTGGAAAATTAGGTAGATCAGAAGGACTTTAATGACAAACCGCTCCCTAGCTGGCACAGTACACAGAAGCCTAATTATTTCAACCATAACATGTTGCAGATGCTCTCCGAGATTCTCTGTGGGTATAGTGTGTGTGTGTGTGTGTTAATGTATATGGTGGTGTGTGTGTGCGTGTGTGTTAATGTATATGGTTGTGTGTGTGTGTGTGTGTTAATGTATATTGTTGTGTGTGTGTGTGTGTGTGTGTGTGTGTGTGTTAATGTATATGTGTGTGTGTGTGTGTTAATGTATATGGTTGTGTGTGTGTGTGTGTGTGTGTGTTAATGTATATGTATATGGTCCTCTGTAGCTCAATTGGTAGAGCATGGCGCTTGTAACGCCAGGGTAGTGGGTTCGATCCCCGGGACCACCCATACGTAAAAATGTATGCACACATGAATGTAAGTCGCATGAGTGTGCGTCTGTCGGTCTTTTTCTTTGTGTCTGACTGCATGTATACCACCCTGTATACCACCTTGTATACCACCCTGTATACCACCCTGCATCCCACTGCTGGCTTGCCTCTGAAGATAAGCAGGGTTGGTCCTGGATGGGAGACCAGATGCTGCTGGAAGTGGTGTTGGAGGGCCAGTAGGAGGGACTCTTTCCTCTGGTCTAGAAAAATGTTTTTTCCAATGCCCCAGGGCAGTGATTGGGGGCATTGCCCTGTGTAGGGTGCCTTCTTTCGGATGGGACGTTAAAGGGGTGTCCTGACACTCTGTCGTCACTAAATATCCCATGGCACTTATTGTAAGAGTAGGGGTGTTAACCCCGGTGTCCTGGCTAAATTCCCAATCTGGTCCTCATACTGTCATGGCCACCTAATCACCCCAGCTTCCAATTGGCTCATTCATCCCCCCTCCTCTCCCCTGTAACTATTCCCCAGGTCGTTGCTGTAAATGAGAATGTGTTCTCGGTCAACTTAACTATAAAATAAGGGTTAAATGTGTTTTATTTTGTTATGTCTGTCTAACAGTTCTAATGTTCTTAAACCCTATGTGTGGACTCCTCCAATTGCAGAAGGTGTCGTGTGATAGGCCGAGCTCAGACGGAGAGCCGCCCCATGAGAATGGACACACTGTCACCGACTGTAAGGACCAAGGTGAGACCAGGGAAGGGTCTGGAATACTTCGATAGTTACATTAAATACAGCACATCATACTGGGCTAATGCCATTCTGTGTGAAATAATCTCTTCTCAATTGGGCTTTCCCTTGGTTTAATACTGTCCCTCTTTGGAAGTTAAATGAGTAATGGCATGTCAGCCATGAATTAGCTCTAGATTCATATTCTTCGTATTCTTTATCCTTCAGTCTTAAAGATGCACTATGCAGATATCGCTCTGCCATTTCCTGTTTTTTAAAATTTGAATAGTTTAGCAGTAATTTCAGTGACAAAACAAGCGCGTATAGTCTATACAATCATTGTATCAACTAAACCGCTGTTAAATATATTTTCCATAACCAAAAATATTGTATTTTCAGCTGTTTGAAGCTGGTGTACAAAACCGTAAGTAATAGACTTAAGAACGGGAAGCATAGAAACAGAGCACATAGAACAGATCTACCGTTTCTTAGATTTTCATTCAATGAAAATGACGGATCTATAACACACATTTCTATGTGAATTTGGTCGGGTCGCCCAAAAAGTTACATACAGTATTGCAGCTTTAATGCTAATGAAGCATTGTGTTTCTTCAGCTTTGACCCAACTGTAAATCCCTCTATACTCTGTTGATTTACAATGGAAATGGGGTGTATTTTCTTGAGGGTCAGAGCAGCTTGTGTGTTCAGGGGAGTATGATTATGAGAAAGCTACAAAAACAATGGACTTGAGCATTTGGGATTCATTTGGATTTATTCAATGTTTATTTGATATTGAGCCTTTTTTCCTGCACGAAGTACCAAGACTAAGACAGCCAAGATGCAATCTAAATAGCAGGATGAGATTATTCAGCATCTGCCTGCTCGACACGCTCAATTCCGCTGGGTTTACATTTTCATTTAACTTGTCAAGACCTCTTGTTCGGATTCTCCGGAATTTAGAGCTGTTCTTGTTTGGTTTCATTACACTCAAGTCAACGCACGCACACTCACACTCTCTCTCTCTCTGTGTGAAGTGTGTTGTTACCCAACAGCAGTAAATTCCTGGTTTATAGGTGATTGCTAGCTCAGCACTAGGCTGTGATTAATAGACCTGTGTCTAATAGTTTGCATTTCACAGCTGGGAAACTATGATTGTTGTTGAAATATGCACACAACCTTTTCCCCAAATGAGCTCAATTGGAGGATCTCTGACTGATGGCTTTTGACAGATTGCTGTAATTTGATCCATTTAAGTCTATGCATTTGTTGTGTTCCCTCTGGTGAGACCATTTATGAGTGGATTGTGAGTGTATTATATATGATACTGCCCTATGGAGGATTGGAGTGGTAATGCTGTTTGACAACCACTTTTATTCCCCTACTTTCATTCCCCAATTACATTTTACATTTTTACATTTTCGTCATTTAGCAGACGCTCTTATCCAGAGCGACTTACAAATTGGTGCATTCACCTTATGATAGCCAGTGGGACAACCACTTTACAATATCAACAATTTATTTATTTATTTTTATTCACTTCATGTAGAACTAAGAGTATGGTGTAGCTCCACAATGCCCTCTGATAGGCTAGGTTGAATATTTGCCATATTGCTTACACTGTTCCAATCCTCTCATATCTAGTTCCCACTGAGTAGGAGTGGATGGTGGCTTGAGTCCATATACTATGTCACTAGTGGCGAGCCAGTGGTTGATGATATCACCTCATATCTCTACCACTGCATCGCCAAGCCAAAAGACTACCACCCTTCTCACACCATTTCACCCTAGCTGCACACTCTTTCTGAGGGGAAAAACGAGTCTCCAAACCCCTTTTTCAGCTTAATCAGCCACATTCCTTCCATGGCTGGTAAGAAGCGAACTTGATTCAGTGGAATCAAATTAGCCTGATCAGAGAGTCGTCGTCGTCGTCCCCCCCCCTGTCTTTCACCGCAAAAAATAGAGAAAAATTATTATAATCATCCAAAGTGAAGCACTTTCACATCTGTGTGTCTGGTTTCCTACCTTAGGCCCGGGGTCTAACGTGTGTGTGCACATGCGTGAGATAAACACCAGCAGGGGTTGGGCAGAAATGGCCACATATTTAATAAAATGTGTCGCCATTGGCAGATATCATCACTATCAGGGTAACAGGATCTGAGTTGTTTCCTGCAGGGCAGTGGAGGTGTGTATGTGTATCTCTATGTCTGTCTGCGTCTCTGTGTCTGTGTGTGTGTCAGCGTAAGCGTCTGTCTGCAGAAGCACTCCAGACTCCGAGCGTCAGCTGCTTCACTACAATTACATCATTCATGGGGAATTTTGCACCCCTGCCTCAGAAACCCCTCTCTTCTTTCTGTCTCACTCTTGTGTCTGACTCCAGAAAGGAAAATGGGAGTGAAGGGGGAGTTATATAATATTCTGTAGTAATTAATGTGTATAAACAGGTAATACATGGGTATGGTGCCGATGATCAAACTCTGCAGATGTTGGGAGAATTTAAATATTGCAGTTTTCTTAAGACAAAAGCTTATAGGAATAGACACTACGTTCTAGTCAGTGAATCTCCCTGTCACACACTATACATACAAATAATATTATGCCCATTTCCATATTCTCTTCTCCACTATGTGACGTCTATTCTTGTCATTCTGTCTGTGGCTCATCTCTCCTTTACCCTTCTGGCAGTCTCCAGAGTGGATCTCTTCTACCAAACCCTGCTCACCGCAGACCACACAATCCAAACAACCCTCAGACGACCAGCAGATTTTCTCTTCAGACACTCAGAGAGACAGGCTTTAAGACTGGGTTTAGGCCAGTTTAGAGGCATTTACAGGAGAATGTGCACTGTCATTAATGTCTGTGGGCCTCTTCGGGTAGTAGAATTGAGGCCTAATTTCTGACCTAAATATTCAAATGATATGACAATCTGGTCAAATAGCTTATGTGATCCTATTTTCATTCTTAAAGATTAAATTACCTTGAAGGTCTAGCTCTCTGACATTGTATGTCTCTCTCTCTCTCTCTCTCTGTCTCTCTCTCTCTCTCTCTCTCTCTCTCTCTCTCTCTCTCTCTCTCTCTCACTCTCGCTCTTTCTCTACCACTCTCTCTCTCAGGTAAAGGAAAGAAGGACTCTCAGAAGAGTCAGAAGGGAGGCACGCTGGGTAAAGGGGCGGGAAAGAAGATCACTAAGATCATTGGCCTGGGCAAGAAGAAGCCGTCCACTGACGAACAGACATCTTCAGCCGAGGAGGACATACCCACCTGTGGTAAGACACCTCTTAGGGGTTAGAGGTCACATCTGGGGTTTAGAGGTCAACCTATATCAAGGGTGGACTTGGTCGTATAGGTGCTGTTATATAGAGGGCTCATAGAATGTATGGGGAAATGTCTTGACTTAGAACACCCAGAACTGCAGCTATTTTCTGGTCTGCCGTTTGGCTATTGGCCATTTTACCCCACACTTTTATCCTAACTGGTCCGTCTTGTCTGATTGACAGGCTACCTGAACGTGCTGTCCAATAACCGCTGGCGTGAGCGTTGGTGTCGTCTGAAGGACAACCAGCTGCTGCTCCATAAGGACCGTGCTGACCTGAAGACCCACATGGCCAGCCTGCCCCTCAGAGGCTGCGAGGTCAGCCCCGGACTGGACTCCAAACACCCCTTCGCCTTCCGCCTGCTCCGCAACGGACAGGAGGTGGCTGTACTGGAGGTAGGTTGGTGGTCAATGGGCTCGGAGTGGAGGTTGGTCTTAGGTTCAGATCTAGGATCAGCTTACCCTTGCCAAATCTGAACCTTCATGGTCAGGGGGAAATCATCAGGTCTGTCGAAGGGCAACTTTGGCCTACCACACCATCAAATGCACTAACAACTAGTCAAGTGCTAATGTGGTCGTGATAGTATGGATTGGATGGAAAGAAATGATGGAAAGTTATCTCTTCTTTTTATAATTATAATTATACATTTTTTAAAACGTTTCTAAACCAATGGTATAACGTTAACATAAATAAATAAAAAGATACTAGCTTCTTTAAATTAGCGTAATTATCTCTAACCCACCTCTCGTCTTCTCTCCAGGCGTCCTCCTCAGAGAGTATGGGTCGGTGGCTGGGGGTACTGCTAGCTGAGACTGGCTCCACCACAGACCCTGCTGCCCTGCACTACGACTACATAGACGTAGAGACTACCGCTAACGTCATCCAGCTGGCCAAGCAGTCCTTCTGGTGAGACACACACGTACATGCACACCTTCCATTGAGTGATAGGGGCTACTTATCACCCCATTGGGGGTCTCAGAGAGGCAAATATTTTGTATGACAGAAAAGGTATGCGTGCGTCTTTGAATCCCAAAAAGTATGTGTGGTGTTCCCTCAGACGCTCAGACCCCATTCAATTAGGAATGCACATCCCTGGACCAATATTTTTCCTGCTGGCAATTTGATGTGTCACTCTGACCAACAGGGTTTTCACCAGAGCACTGTATACAGGCCAGTCCTGCCCACACAATAACACAATACACTGAACTGTTATTTGTATGATGCAGGCAATATATGAGACAGCTATACACTGAGTGTGCAAAACATTAAGGACACCTGCTCTTTCCATGACATAGACTGACCAGGTGAATCCAGGTGAAAGCTAGGATACCTTATTGATGTCACTTGCTAAATCCACTTCAATCAGTGTAGATGAAGGGGAGGAGACAGGTTAAATAAGGATTTTTAAGAATTGATACAATTGAGCCATTGAGGATGAATGGTCAAGACAAAATATTGAAGTGCCTTTGAACGGGGTATGGTAGTATGTTCCAGGCACACCGGTTTGTGTCAAGAACTGCAACGCTGCTGTGTTTTTCACGCTCAACAGTTACCCGTGTGTATAAAGAATGGTCCACCACCCAAAGGACATCCAGCCAACGTGACACAACTGTGGGAAGCAATTAGAGTCAACATGGGGCCAGCATCCCTGTGGAATGCTTTCGACACCTTGTAGATTCCATGCCTCGACTAATTGAGGCTGTTCTGAGGGCAAAAGGGAGGGTGCAACTCATGATTAGGAAGATGTCCTTAATGTTTTGTACACTCAGTTTAAGTGTGCAGCTATAAGGGTCCTTAATGGACAAACCTCTCCATATTCCCCACATGATTCCACATTTATATAGTGCTTTACTTTTGGACTATGACTACTATGATTATATGGAGAATGTGTCATACGATTCCCCGACGTATTATCACTCACTAATGGATATGTGCATTTTCTTCTTAGCTTCACTAGTAAACGTGCTGTATCTCCCAACCCCTATCTGGACAACCCTGTGAATGGTTATGCCTGTCCCTCTGGAATGGCACTGCACTATGATGATGTGCCCATCAATGGAACGGTAAGGACACAAATGCACGAGCACACACACACACACTGAGAAAACAAACAAATGAGTCAAATCTCAGCAACTCTTATATCTGGATGCTGCATTGCTTGTGATGGCTTGAATCGGGGTATCTTTCTGTTTCTCTTCCTCTCTCGTTCCTGCTTTCTCACGCTAATCCAACTGTGATTAATAATTGTGCAACCTTCAAGTACTTTCCTCTGCTCTGACTCACTTGTCTGTAACAATAACAACCCTTTGGCTTCCTCTCTTCTCGTCTCTTCTCCTCTCCCCTTTGCTGACTTATTTTTTCGCTCTTTTTCAAACATCCTCTTCTCTCTTTTGTTTTTCTTTCTCTTTATATTTCCTTTAATCTCCTCCTCGTTCCCTATTTTTTCCTCTCCTCTCCTCTCTGCATGCCTACCTCTAACATAAGGACCCAGAGGCGCTGTACTCCAGCCCTGCCACCGGAGGGCGGCGTCTGAGAGAGGAGGTGTTGTATGAGAACACTGACCCTGACCTCTATGAGAACATGCCCTCGCCCAAGCTGGCCGCCCGCTACTCCCCCAAGCCCAGTCGCCTAGCCTCTTCCTCCAGCCACTACAAAACCCCTGGCCCTGTTAAATCCAAATTCCTCTCCTCCTCTTCCTCAGCTAACATTAATACTAAAGCCGGTACTCAGGTGACTAACGCTCTGCTTTCTTAACCTTAACGCAACCTTAATTAACACTGTATACTTTTCTATCGTCTTAAAGGGATAGTTCACCTCAAATTCAAAGTTTATGAGATGTTTCATACTTCAACAATTGTCTAAAATTGAGTCTCTTATGCCATTTGTTGTATAGATCCTGCTATATGCATTAATCAAAATCTTAATGGGAGAGATTGACACCATCTAAATTCCATCTAATAGCTTTGATTTTGGAGTTAGCTCTTCCTTTAACATATAATATACACAGTGTACAAAACATTAAGAACACCTGCTCTTTTCATGCTCTTGACCAGGTGAACCTTATTGATGTCACTTGCTAAATCCACTTCAACCAGTGTAGATGAAGGGGAGGAGACAGGTTAAAGAAGGACTTTTAAACCTTGAGACAATTGAGACATGGATTGTGTATATGTGCCATTTAGAGGGTGAATGGGCAAGACAAAATATTTAAGCGGATTTGAATGCTGTATGGTAGTAGGTGCCAGGCACACCGGTTTCAGTGTGTCAAGAACTGCAACGCTGCTGGGTTTTTCACTCTCAACAGTTTCTGGTGTGTATCAAGAACGGTGGGGGGGTTAGGAAGGCGTTCGTATTAGGAAGGCGTTCGTAATGTTTTGTACACTCAGTGTAATAGTGTGAGTCTTTGCTAAGGGAGAGGGAAGGGGTATGCCTATAGATGGGAAGGGAGAGGGATTAAATAATGGGATTTGAGTCTCAATTCTTATTACATGTATTATTCCTGCAGAAACATTTGATTTAATATAATGGTGTTGATACTGGCCACCCAGAATACAGGTTTCCAGACATTATCCTCAAAATCCCCGATAGCTTAGTCCCGCTGTAGTGCAGCTCTTGGTAATGTGATTAAAAACATGACCGTGCAGAGGAGTGGTGTTACATGCATATTGAGCCCCTCGTAAAATACTCTGTCCAGTATTGAGTATCAGGGAGTTAGTTAAGGTCTGAGACATTGACCATGCACACTTTAGTTAGAGGCCTGATATTGGATTGAGAGAAGTAGGGGGGATCAAATATCAGCAGTGTGTGTTATGTCGGAGCACTTCAGACCACCCAGATTATAGAGGGTTCTCCTTCTTTTATCTGTGTGTGTGTGTGTGTGTCCTCTGTGTGTTTATACTGCTCTTTGCCTTTACAACGACCATCGCCTGCATGCATGTATGTCATTATATTTTTATAGCCTACATGGATGTGAGTTGGAAGTGTCACCTAGCACTGTTACACACATAAGTCACCACTTGGCGTTGTAGAGTTTAACTTTGATGTGTGTATGTGTCTGTGTGCGTGCGTGCGTGTGTGTGCTTGCATGCATCGGTCCATATGCGTGTGTGTATGTGTGCGTGTGCATGCATATGTGTGTGTGTGTGTTTATGGCCAGGGGTGTTAACATGGAACTCTGCACCACAAAGCCTGTTCTAGTGTTTAATGTCATCCTGCTAGGTGTAAAAATCAGGCTCAGTGGCCCTAATGCCTTCAGTAAAGCTAATTGAAACTGGATGGTAGAGCACCACATCCAAACCCATGGTTATATAGTAGTCTACACACACACACACACACACACACACTGCAGGGGAATACAGTCCAATAGGGCTGGTTTAGCCTGATGCTTGGATTACTGGGGGATTCAGTTCAGAAGGGGATTCATACTTTTAGTGTCATGTGTTTAACATGCAATTCATTTGTACAGCTGTGCACAGAGTAGTTCACATGATCGTACCCACCTGGGGATTTAGATGGGCAATGTTGATTTTTATTGGAAGTGAGTTGTAGACATTTTAACTGTATGTTTGAACTGTAGTGTAGTGGTTTTCGGACTGTGCATTTCAACCAGATTGTGAATGTCTGTTCTCTCTTCCTCCTTCTCGACCGATCAGCTGAAGGGAAAGAAGGCCCCAGTGACCAATGGGATGGCGTCTAAACAGAAGGTGGACAAGAACCAGGCCAAGAAGACCAACGGAACAGCCACCAATGGAACAACCAATGGAGCATCTGTGAAACGTAACAACTCCAGTAAGAGTCTAATCAATGTGTGTTTGTGTGTGTGTGTGTGTATTTTAGAGTTTGAGAGGTAGAGAGAGAGAGAGAGAGAGAGAGAGAGAGAGAGAGAGAGAGAGAGAGAGAGACACACCCATTCCCATGAGTGCCTTATAGTGTATGAGTCTGTCTATAAATCATGACACACAGTAAATACCAGTGAGATAATTCATAAGCTACTGCTAGCCTGTCACTTCCAGTCAGCCCTTATACAGTCTGCTAGCTGTGATATTTAGCAGTAGCCTGGTCTTAGCAGACACCAAGTCTGGCTCCCCACTCCTCAGTCCCAGTCAAACCCACCACTGATCGCTTTCTAGGAATACTGGAGCCACACAAAAATCTGGAATTCTCAAATTACAGTTGGTGGAGCAGCAGGAGTAAATATCTTTGGATGGGGCTAAGACAGCTTCCTTGAAACCATCCGTTGTAAATCCCAACCTTATGGAAGATTCCCATGACATATCCAGACCAAACTATCATTCAACGTTGAGTCAATGTTCAAATAGCAGCATGAACACGCAAATATTTGGCCAGGGTGACGCGTGGTTACTGGTGAGGCTAATGTTTGCGGTGAAGGTCTGTGTGTTTTCAGTAATGTGTGAACTACGACAGTTTTGAACCCACTTTCTCATATTTGGTCGCTTTTGTAAGCATGGTGTTCATAGGGAATACCAACTATGTGTCATTTTGGATTTAGTGTATGTTACACAATGGGCCCATATTGATGTATTGATGGTTGAAGATGTCAAGTGGTGGTTTGATTGATTATTTGGTCCTTCGTAGAGGCTAATGTGCTAGTGGGGCACACACTCACACACACACAGTCATACTCAGTGGTGTGGAGAGGTTCCAGTGGCCCTTATAGCTTAAGGCTTCTTGTTTGGTGTATTTTTTTCAGCAGGGTCGGTCCCTTGTCCCTACTCTACTCTGTTTGATTAATGAGTGCTTAAGGCTGAGGTTTGGGTTCAATGGGTTTCTGGTCAGTTTATGCCTTGTCTAGAACTCAGATGAGCATTGTTTTGTTCTTTCTCCTCTCTCTCCTTCCCTCTCATAGCAATCCACCCTTCTTTACATATTTCCTTACCTCCTTTTGGATCTCATTCTCTCCTTCTCCCTCCCCCTAATCTCTCCTTCTCCCCTCCCCTCCTACCCTCCCCTTCCATTACCTATTTCCCAACACCTAATGAGCATTTGGTCTTAACAAATATATAACATAAATCACCTCTCTCTCTTGTAGGTGCAGAGCAGTATAAATACGGTAAGAACCGCGTGGAGGCGGACGCCAAGCGGCTGCAGGCTAAAGAGGAGGAGCTGATGAGGAGGAAGCAGGACATCAGGAACCGTCTGACCCAGCTGAAGAAGGACAGGAAAGACCTGCGCACCGCCATGGAGGCCAGCACCGGTATGATAACGAGACACACACTTTGAGACACACACACACACGCATGCACACTTAGATAGACAGACATATAGACGCATTCACGCACGCACGCACACACACACACACTAACACAAACAAAAACACACACTGCTTTTACCAAGGTGAAGAGTAGGTGGTGAGAGACGAAGGATTAGATGGGGGAGAGGTGGGAGTGAAAGTATGGGGAGATGGAGAAATGATGGGAGGAGGAAGAGGAAGAGCGATATAGAGTGGTGGGAGATGGAATGAGTGTTGGAAGGAAGAGTGGAGAGGTGGGAGTTAGTGGTGTATGATGGGATTATGGATGGGAGGATTAGGCTTAGGAGTGAGTGGTTTGGGATGGAAGACTGGTTTGCAGGGGGAGAGATGGGAGTCATGTATCAGACGTTTTTATCCTGAGAGACTTCTCAATAAACGACAATAACAGTAAGACTGGAACCGGGAGTGAACCTCCTCCCTCTTCATTTCTCCCTCTCTCAGGTAAGCGTTCCGCTGCGTCTCTGGTGGAGCGGCTGAAGAAGGTGGAGGACGAGTGCAAGCTGAAGGAGGAAGAGAGGGTGAGCCTGGAGCTGGAGCTGACGGAGGTCAAGGAGAGTCTGAAGAAGGCCCTGAGTGGAGGAGTCACTTTGGGACTCACCATTGAGCCCAAGTCTGGCACCTCCAGCCCACAGGTTAGACCTCAATCAATCATTTATTTTATAAATACCTTTTTACATAAGCAGTTGTCACAAAGTGCTTTACAGCCTAAAACCCCAAAGAGCAAGCAATGCAAATGTAGAAGCACAGTGGCTAGGAAAAACTCTCTAGAAAGGCAGGAACCTAGGACCTATGGCTGAGTCTCAATACTGTTTAAGGCGTCCTTCTCTTGAATAATGAACAGACAAAAGCATTTTGTCCATGTAAATTAGTCTTCTAGATAGTCTAAAGTGAATTGGTTTTTATTACCTTGTGTGCTTTTCTCCATCTGCATTTAAAAAACTTGACTGGTGTAAGCAATATGCCCAACATACCCATGACAAACAGTCAACAGGCTTTTGATAAAGTGTTGAAAATGTTGCTGCTGACTCTGAATGGTGTGTATCTGTGTGTGTCCAGTCCCCAGTGTTGCTGAGGCGTACCCTAGAGAACTCTCCCATCTCCAGCTGTGACACCAGTGACACAGAGAGCTGTTCCACCTTGCCCATCAACAGCGCCTCCCTCCTCCGCAGAACGGCCAATCAGAAACCCTCGACTGTCCGCGGCCACGTCCTCAGGAAGGCCAAGGTGAGACAGAGTTACAGAGAACACACACACACCTGCGTTTACACACACACTCAAAACACAGTCAGCACTCATTCAACTGCGTTGCCACACATCTCTGACACACACACATCCATTGCCACACATCCCAGCCCAGTCCAATGACTATACTGAATTTGCATTTAGTTGCATGTAACTGTAAGTACTTGCATTTACATGTACTGTATTATTTGCATGTATTTGCATTGATATCCTGACATCCAGTTCCCTTTATTGCAGGAATGGGAGATGAAGACTGGCACATAAGCAACAACTCTCTTCACAACAATCCTATCGTATTAGCTTTTTTTATGTGTGTATATATTTATTTAAAACTTTTCATATCGGGAAGAAGGTTGAAGAGGAGTACACTACAAGCATAGCATAGCCAACCAGAAAGAGAATAAGGACAATGCTGATTTTAGTATACTTTATTTCCAAAACATAAAGAAATAGCACTCTTTTTGTAGCTTACTATTGTATAATACCGTGTATTATTATCTGGCATGTTTGAACTACTCTGTCGTGCGGTTTTGTATTCGTCAGATAATTGTCTTTCTTTTCAAGCAGACATCCAATCATAGACGGTCTTTTGGGATCTGTTTCTCCATCACACACAAATCTGGTTTCTACAACTCTTGGGGTTAAAAAATCAAGTGCAAAACCAAGTATTTATTTGTAAATGTTTATTAAGTAAACATCCCTGTGATTATTTATGTTGATAATATTTAATGCTTGTTTTATAGTATAGCTGGCTCTCCGTAGGCACCCATGTTATCTTTCCTACTCAGTTAAAAGCTCTCTTGTCTACAAGCATCTGTTTAGAACAGTAACTGCACTGCGCCACTAATGTTCACGTCATCTAGATGGGTTAATCGAATCATCAGTATCACTGTTAGGCAATCCAGATGATTTGCAGATCATCAAACCAGCAATGCACCTACTCCCTACTGGTTGATGCTTGTGAGTGGGCCATTGGAATGCTCCACTCAGTAAAGTGCAGGTCAGGCTAAGGCGTGGTCGTGTCCTGGTGAGTTTGGCCGCTGGCGTTGGAAAACGCCTAAACCTCAAGTAACGTGGCCTCTTATATTTAAGCTTAACATCCAGGAGCCTCGGCCCAGCTCTTTTAATCATGCCACTGGTGTACTGTAGCCCTGTGATCTGATCTGTGTGTGTGTGTGTGTGTGTGTGTGTGTGTGTGTGTGTGTGTGTGTGTGTGTGTGTGTGTGTGTGTGTGTGTGTGTGTGTGTGTGTGTGTGTGTGTGTGTGTGTGTGTGTGTGTGTGTGTGTGTGTGTGTGTGTGTGTGTGTGTGTGTGTGTGTGTGTGTGTGTGTGTGTGTGTGTGTGTGTGGGTGAGTGAGTGAGTGTGAGTGTGAGCGTGTATGGCTTGTGTGTTAGTGCGCACGCTAGTGTGTGAGTGTATGTGTACGTGTGTGTTGAAACGTCTCCAAGGCACATTCCAACCCCATCATCAATACACTGTTAGAAATAGAAGCCCGTACTGTATGGTCAGAAATACTGTGTGTTCTCCGCTTCAACCAGAGACTGTGACCTAGTTGTGGATTCTTGAACTTCCAGCTGCTACTGTAGCAACACGTTTCAGCTCATACACATCACATAGGCACGTGCACACGAACACACACATTTATGTAATTTATTTCGAATGGTGCTTTTTGTCATGCTTTTACCACATCTACAGTACACTACAAATACTGCTATATGCACACAGCTCAGTGTAACCTAACCACGGTGCTTTGTAGGGGTGAGAAGTAGCATGTTGATGTACTACTGCAAACAAGCTACGTTTTTACCATTTACTCAAAGGTACATTTACCTTTAAAACAGCTGGTTTATGGTGTATTTACTGGCCTGGTTGGAATATGAGGCTGTGCATAACAAAAATGGCCACCAACGGAGGTTTCTCAAGTTATCAGAGTATAAATATTTGTATAGCTTTTCCATTCCGTCAGATTGATGCCGGGATTCAAATCCGATCGCATATTCAATCTGATCACATAAGCAGCGTTTACCGTGAATGGGATCTCCGCGAACCTGGGAACATTGCCTTTAAAGGGATAGTTCACCCAAAATGACATATTGACATATTCCTTAACGTGTAGGCAGTCTATGGACAAGGTATGACAGCAATCCATGCTTTGGTTTAGTTTCCCTGGCACTGTTTCCAAATGCTAACGGTTTAGCATTTGTGGCACAAATCCCATTGAAGTCATGGGACCAATATTAGCATTTTTCATGCATCATGTCCAAATCATCCAAAAGTATCTCAATTTTATTGTGAAGCTCACCAAAGTCACTTCTAGATTATTTGAACATGATGCGCAAAAAATTATAATATCGGTCCCTTGAATGGGATTTGTACCACAAATGCTAAAACATTAGACATTTGGAAAAAGTCCCAGCCACTGCCAGGGAAACTAAACCCAAAGCTTGGATTGCTATAATAATAATATGCCATTTAGCAGACGCTTTTATCCAAAGCAACTTACAGTCATGCGTGCGTACATTTCTTTTTATGTATGGGTGGTCCCGGGGATCAAACCCACTACCTTGGCGTCACAAGCGCCGTGCTCTACCAGCTGAGCTACAGAGGACCACTGTCATACGTTGTACATAAACTGCTTACCGGGTAAGGAAACCTATAACCTGCGATGGGATTGAATCGCGGCCAAAGTCCCATTAGACGGCAAGCTAGAGCTAGTCATAGTCACCACGAGATGAGGAAGAGGAGGACGAGTTAAGCATCTAGTCCATTTTGGACCCCTATCTTCTCTGTATAAACACCTTCAAAACTGAAATGGGGCAAGAGATATGTCAGTGAGAAAATGTGAACCCACATTGCGGGAGGGGAGGGAGGAGGGGAGATTGGGGGGTGTATTTGGGTGTGGGCAGAGGGAGTAGGGGAGAAACAGCAACATTGTTTGTTTTGCACCTTAACACTTTTCTACTCCATTGTACTTCTTTTGACAGTCGCCAACTCGGTGACGAACGGCTGTATATAAAAGCAATAAACTTCTTTACAAACATCCTCTTCTCTTGTTTATTGGTGTTGGGTTAGCTGTGTAGTCAGACCAAATTAAACTTAAAACCCCCATAAAAATGTTATTATTATGTATATTCTCAAATAACAAACTATTGAAAGAAATGACCCAAGATACAGTATATGAGAAAACAGTCAATCAAAACATGAGCTAGCGTATTAGCTGCTAGCAGGTGAAACCACACCATACTAGTCACATTAATGCAGGAATAAACCCAAGAATCTGATAATAAACTGAGAAATCATAGTGATGATTGCGTTAGATCCGAATTCTCTGTCACTTGTTTTAGATCTGTAAAATGTTAGAACTAGATCTGCTAACTCTTTCTATCCTGGTGATTGGCTCGTTTGATCGGATTCATCTGGATGGGTCTGAAGCAATGGAGGATGACAGGATGACAGGAGGTTAAATTCCTGCCTTGTATCCAAAAAGTTGTGGGGTCGCTCCTCATCTCTTGAGCTTTAGTGTATATTTCTGCAACGGTCAATGTCAAATATACGAGGAGAAGCATTTCAACAGTGGAGTTGGTGGCGCTGGGGTTTGATCCTGGCCTTGCATTCAAGAGATTGTGGGTTCAAGTCTCATCTCTTCTGCATTAATGTATATTTCCACAACTGCTGATGTCAAACATACAACTAGAAGTGAAGGAGTCTGGTGTAAAGTTCTTGCCCTGAAGTTTTCTCCCCAATAAGCACAGGGTTGTAGGTTCAAACTCCGTCATGGCTCTGGAGCATGGTTGAGTTGACACAGAGCGCTTGAATGGTACGATAATAAGGGGTTGTGAAAGTCATGACCAGTAGTTATGGGGAAGATTCCCTGAAAAAAAGTGAGTTGTTAAATACAGGCATGTTCTATAAATTAATGGACACAGTTTTGGAATAGAACAGGAGGGGGCACCCCAGTTTTTAACCCCCGTCAGTTGTCACATTCCACCAACTGCCATGACATCCAAGTGCGCTACCTGGGTTTGAACCCACAACCCTGTGCCACCAACTCCTTCATACTTGAAATGCTTGTCTTCATATGTTTCACATCGACAGGTCCGTAAACGTTCATTGAAGTACAAGAGATGTGGCTCAAGCCCATTAGCCAGTAACCCAACAAATATCCTAATTGTCATTCACTTGATGAAACCCCTTCAGTAAATTTTGATTTGAACATGCCAATCGCTCTGTTGGAAGGCGCAAGATATTGGGAACAGCAGGATTGTTAGTTTAATTCCCATGTGTGCCATTACTAAGTGCATATTTACTGCAAGTTGGGTAGGTTTAAAACAGCATTTCTCAAACCCCCAGCCGTTCCATGTACTTGCTCTATTCCAGAACTAGCACACCTGATTCCACTAGTCAACTAATCATCAAGCCTTTGAAAAAGTCAAATCTTTATTGAACAGATAAAATTATGACAACAAACACGTACAGTTAGGGGAGTGATTTATTCCAGAATGCAGGTTAAGTGCACTACACTTTCTGTCAAATCAAACAAACCCAAAAATATTAATACAACTGCGGTCAATTTCACATAGTCTGTGTCATCAACAGTGAATCTCCTTCAGAAATATATTGGATTATCTTGATCCCCACTTCAACAAGGGGGGGGGAAATAATAACAGACAACATCACTAGAAAACTAAGAACAAGCCAAACATGAGCATATATATGTACAAAAGATGAAGAACAGAGAATCAAATAGAATAGTCCAGTGTGGTGTACTGTCTGTTTGTATCAGATAGGCCTACATTATCATGAATGTAACTGACTCACTGGGAAACTTGAGATTGACTCTCAGCATTGGTCACTAAGACGTGTACACTGCCTCAATCAAGACAACCCCATTATATGGCCCAATATGTGAAGATGCTACACTTCTCTGTAGACTGCACTCCTCAAGATGACTACATCGTTAGTGCAAATTAAATGTCTTGGGATATTTGCGATGGGAAGGAAAGCTACTGACTAAGATTTACTTAAAGATTTGACAGGAATTAAACAAATGAATCCAAAATGCAATATCTCCATAGATACTATATCATGAGTGCAGAAGTGAAGGGTGTAGATTTGATCATGAGATATCCTTTCCAGTTAAACAATGGATACAACAGAAAGTAGCCTACCTATAAAAGTCTATGATACTTAGCTATACACAGAAACAATGCTGATACATGAGAAGCAAGCAGTGGTATTGAGAAAGCTCCCTGTGTCATCTTACTGTGATGGGGGATTCAGTGAAGGGGGCATCCAAAAGACTTGTGTGTGTGTGTGTGTTTTCGTATTAGTGTAAAATACTCACACTCAAGTGACTATATACAGTGGGAGGTTGTTCATATAAACACATCTATGTACACAAACCAAATTATATAGGAGACATACCACCATACCACCACTAACTCTGCCTAATATAGGCTCATATAATGACAGCCACACCTTTATCTCCATGACGACGACCTTAGTCTCTGGGGAAATGAACTCACGTTGACCTCTGACCTGGGGGTATCTTGGAGGCGGGGTCAAATTGTTATTAGTAAATAAATAAATAGAGGAAATGCACAGGAAATGTCGTAGAGCAGAGGAGTCTGCTTCTTTTTAGGCACGGTGGGACAAAGAATGACTTTCTAACCAGGGACGTGACATGCTGTAGCTTTGCTAAAATATCAAACACCATACAAAGTGTCACTCCTTTAACCTCACCTACTAATCAAGTACCGTAAAACATAAAAAATAATACAAATATTTCATATTTTAAAAAATTATTAAAATGTGAAATTATTATAGAGCATTGTTATACATTGCTGTATGATGAAAGAAGACAGTTTAAACAAGGATTGTATGTAAATAATGGTGAATGAATGAGGATTTTTCCACACGCTTCATGTTAGCTCGACTCATAAGTACCTGTTTCTGGGATTTATAAACAGTGCAACACCACCCCCTAGTGCCTATTTGGGTAATTGCATTCTTTTCACGAACGCAACCCTGCCTCAGTTCAGACCAATGATTTATACATACACTAGATTACTGTGCCTCCATCTTGGCACTCCCCCACCGGTGTAAAAAATATTTTCGAAATGCATTTATTAATGTCTACATTAGTTTTTGCCAGATGTATTATATTCCAGACAACTTAAAGCATACTTTTAAATTATATTATGTGAGCTAAACATTCAAATATATATAAATATATAAACATTTCACTTAAAGTATAAAACATTTTTTAATTACTAATGTTACTGTCCCCTTTACAACAAAGAAATACTTAAGTACATTTAATTTTTGCCCTTGAAAAATGTAATTGAAATACTGTAGAATTCCATTCATTCCTATGGAGGACCGCTCCTACTGGGGAGTGCCAATATGGCCGACCGGTGGTTTCAAAGCCTCTCAATGGCCAATACATAGCATCAGCAATCCAGGATTTATGTACATCATTGGTTCAGAGACTGCTCCCTTTCCACACCCTATCCTTCATATAACATCCCTGCAGATTTAAAGGGGGCATTTCATCTAATTCTTTCCTGAGAAAGAGTATTATTGCATTTAAGTGAGAGAGAGAAAAACAGAGAAGGCGCCAATTGCAAATTATGGGATTGTTTAAAAAAAATACTATTCTCCTAAAAACCTTCTCTTCATTTTGTAGGATCCCCCAGAGTTGTAACAAAGATATTAACATATTTACCTCTCTTTTCTCCACTACTAAACCACATACAGTACAGTACCCAGACTGTGTGTGAGAATTATGTCCTTTTCATGGCTATGGCCTGGTCATTGCATGGCTCTGTTTTGGTCATATTGTGCACCCCACTATTCTTCTTCTACTAGTGTACTATGATATCTGGGAACTACCTAGTGTGTAAAAAGATGAGTATTACAGTACAGAGCGTTTTAAATAGCAGGCCAGTGGGCGGGGTGTCCTCTCTGTGATGTCACCGGAACGCTCCATCCTCACTGGGTGGCGTCCAATCAGTCTCCGAGGGGTTTAGCCAATGAGAACACACCGAGCAAACACGACACAGGGTGCAAAGGACACTGGGTGCAAAGGACACTGGGTAAAAAGCAGAGTTGGCCCACACCCCTGATGTTACAGTAACACAGTGGAAGGAGGGATAGAGGGATTGAGGGAGAAGCAGAACGGAGGATAAGTGTCCCTCTGGTCCCGTGGTGAGAGCGAGATTCGGAACGAGGGATCGAGGGGCCGTGGAGAGAAGGAGAGGAATCGGAGGAGAGAGAGGGAGTACTGCTAGACTGTAGTACTGTGGTGGTTTCTCTCTTCCTCTGTAAGGGGAGTGGTGGATTGGTTAGTCAGACAGAGAGACAGAAGGAAGGCAGAGTAGAGATCCCTGTGCTCGTTAGCATGGCTAGCTCGTTAGCATGGCTAGCTGGTTGGTGTGTCCGTGTTCAGCCATCAGCTGGTCAGGTAGCTGTGCAGCTCTCTGGAGTTGATGCTCAGCACCACGCCCGAGTGGTTACCTAGCAACAAGGAGAGAGAATAAGTGGGTGAACTAGTGCCGAGGTTCAGTCGGTTTTAAAAGGGAAAATCCCACATGCTTCTTTATCTTGCAACATTAAAGCACAATATCCTTGATTGTTTCAACTTCGACTGGTTGGTCATCTTTTAGCCAAACTCTAACTTTTAAAAAGTAACTAATTTTATAAATATTTCCCATTTATATAAGTATTATATAAGTATTACAATGCTTAAATTAACCTTTAATTCACAACATCGTTATGAGGTTAGTAGCGTTAGATTAAAAAAAATACTGAAGCAAATAACTAATACCTTGCGTTACCTGCATGGGCTTGTGAGTAGTAGCAGGCTGTTCTGTTAGTAGTAGTGGGGGTTAGTCCTTATAAGGGAACGGAAGGCGGGGCTACCTCCTGCGTTACCTAGAGTCTGCGAGTCCAGATCGTCATCGATAAACTCCTCCCCCTGGATGATGTGCTGCGTGTCCTCGCTGTGATTGACAGGGCTGGTCATCTCCTGCTCCTTCTCATTGTGCATCTGGGCGTACACGTTCCGGCCAGGCAGCTTTCTGAAAAACAGTGGAGGATAGGCATCCTCAGTCCTAAGCCAAGGACTGTGGGATTTGTAGTTTTGATGAGAGGTTGTGGCTGGAGTTGTAGTTCATGTTAATGAGTGACAGATTGTGGACTTTTTGCATTGGATGCAAAGGAAGTGCTATTGGTGTGACTCGTGAAAAGAAGACAAATCTTGCACAACATATTCATTCATCTACATTCTAGATTCATCAAGTACATGCATTTATGTATTCTAGTACATCTATATTCATCCAGTTATGTATTCACCTACTGTATCTTCATACATGACCTTATGTTTTCATCTGTGGTCATGCAATGCCTCAGAGGATGACTGATTCTGATGGTTGAAGCATGGTTAATGCAACACCAGAATTGTGGGTTTGATTCCCACATGGGCAACATGCAGTATATTGACTATGTCACGATAGGTAAACGCGTCTACCAGGAGTTTTTCCTGACCACATGCTGTAGACCAGGGATCATCAACTAGATTCAGCCACGAGCCGATTTTTTCTTGAGCGGATGGTCAGGGGGCCGGAACATAATTACAAATAATTTGTCAACTGCAAAATCTTAACTATGTGAAATCTTAACTATGTGAAAACTGAACTATCTGAGTCTAGTGCCCAGTGAATATCTTATATGTGAGTCTATTATACCAACCTCTTGAACTTGTAGAGGATGAAGGATCCGGTACCGATGACGCTGATGAGGAAGATGACAGCCAGAGCCCAGACACCTGGACCTGCCACTCCACCCTGAGAACCTGCAGGGGAGACAATACACACACACACACACACACACACACACATTATGATATGGCACATACACACACTGCACACAAGGATAGACAACACACATCAGATGGGAAATTAACACTACACAGACACACAGGGTAGGTAACACCAGTGGTGTAAAGTACTTAAGTAAAGATACTTTAAAGTACTACTTAAGTAGTTTTTTGGGGTATCTGTACTTTACTTTACTATTTATATTTTTGACAACTTTTACTTTTACTTCACTACATTCCTAAAGAAAATAATGTACTTTTTACCCCATACATTTTCCCTGACACCCAAAAGTACTAGTTACATTTTGAATGCTTAGCAGGACAGGAAAATTGTTTAATTCACGCACTTATCAAGAGAACATCCCTGGTCATCCCTACTGCCTCTGATCTGGGCAGACTCACTAAACACAAATGCTTCGTTTGTAAATTATGTCTGAGTGTTGAAGTGCGCCCCTGGCTATCCGTAAATTAAAAAAACAAGAAAATCATGCTATCTGGTTTGCTTAATATAAGGAATTTGAAATAATTTATACTTTTACTTTTAATACTTAAGTATATTTTAGCGATTACGTTTACTTTTGATACTTAAGTACATTTAAAACCAAATACTTTTAGACTTTTACTCAAGTAATATTTTACTGGGTGACTTTCACTTTTACTTGAGTCATTTTCTTTTAAGGTATCTTTACTTTTACTCAAGTATGACAATTGGGTACTTTTGCCACCACTGGGTAACACACACACCTGCTATGGATGTAGCCACCTAAGACACTGAAACAAGAGTATAGCTGGCACGTCACAATAAACTCAACAGAAAACAAATACATCTCACAGCAAAACACTCCATTCCACTCCGCTTCGATAAACACCACACAGTGTTTAACACACACACACACACACACACACACACACACACACACACACACACACACACACACACACCACTTCAAAGTTTAGCACAGTCTGGAAAAGAGATCTACACACAAACTGTGCAAGAAAATATAGAGTAAGTTTAAAAGCAAACGGAATAGATTAGACATCATTTGAACAGATTGTTTACCTATTAAAATTAGTGGATTCGGCTATTTCAGCCACACCTTTTGCTGACAGGTGTATAAAAGCCATGCACTCTCCATAGACAAACATTGGCAGTAGAAAGGCCTACTGAGAGCTCAGTGACTTTCAACATGGTACATAGGATGACACCTTTCCAACAAGTCAGTTCGTCAAATTTCTGCCCTGCTACAGCTTCATGAAATGGGTTTCCATGGCCGAGCAGCCATTGGACTCTGGAGCAGTGGAAATGCGTTCTCTGGAGTGATGAATCACGCTTCACCATCTGGCAGTCTGACGGACAAATCTGGGTTTGGCGGATGCCAGGGGAACACTACCTGCCCCAATGCATAGTGCCAACTGTAAAGTTTGGTGGAGGAGCAATAATGGTCTGGGGCTGATTTCATAGTTCTGACTAAGCCCCTTAGTTAGAGTGAAGGGAAATCTTAACGCTACAGCATACAATGACATTCTTGATGATTCTGTGCTTCCAACTTTGTGGCAACAGTTTGGGGAAGGCCCTTTGCTGTTTCATCATGACAATACCCCCATGCACAAAACGAGGTCCATACAGAAATGGTTTGTCGAAATTGGTGTGGAAGAACTTGACTGGCCTGCACAGAGCCCTGACCTCAACCCCATCGAACACCTTTGGAATGCCGACTACGAGCCAGGCCTATTCGCTCAACATCAATGCCCTACCTCACTAATGCTTTTGTGGCTGAATGGAAGCAAGTCCACGCAGCAATGTTCCAACCTCTATACTGAACAAAAATATAAACGCAACATGTAACATGTCTGGTGAGTATGCAGGCCATGGAAGAATTTGGACATTTTCAGCTTCCAGGAATTGTGTACAGATCCTTGTGACATGGGGCTGTGCGATATCATGCTGTAACATGAGGTGATGGTGGCGGACAAATGGCACGACAACGGGCCTCAGGATCTCGTCACGGCATCTATATGCATTCAAAGTGCCATTGATCAAATGCAATTGTGTTCGTTGTGAGTAGCTTATGCCTGTCCGTACCATAACCCCACCGCCACCATGGGGCACTCTGTTCACAACGTTGACATCAGCAAACCACTTGCCCATGCAACGCCATACATGTGGTCTGCAGTTGTGAGGCCGGTTGGACGTACTGCCAAATTCTCTAAAATGACGTTGGAGGCGGCTTATGGTAGAGAAATGAACATTCAATTATCTGGCAACAGCTCTGGTGGACATTCCTGCAGTCAGCATGCCAATTGCACACTCCCTCAAAACTTGAGACATTTGTGGCATTGTGTTGTGTGACAAAACTAAATATTTTAGAGTGGCCTTTTATTGTCCCCAGCACAAGGTGCACCTGTGTAATGATAATCAGCTTCTTGATATGCCACACCTGTCAGGTGTATGGATTATCTTGCCAAAGGAGAAATGCTCACTAACTAATTTGAGAGAAATACGCTTTTTGTGCTTATGAAAAATGTCTGGGATCTTTTATTTCAGCTCATGAAACATGGGACCAACACTTTACATGTTGCGTTTATATGTTTGTTCAATGTAGTAGAAAGCCTTCCCATAAGAGTGGAGGCTGTTATAGCAGTAAAGGGGGGACCAACTCCATATTAATGCCCATGATTTTGGAATGAGATGTTTGACGAGCAGGTGTCCACATACTCATGTAGTGTATCTAACAGTTTAGCAATTTAGTAGGAAAGAAATTAGGGAAATAACACTGAAAGCAGAGAAAAGGTAACAAAAACACAAGCCCAGTCAGATTTGAGGAAACGTAGACTCCTTTTGAGAAAGCAGGAAGTAAAGCTGGTAAGTTGTCTGGGGCGACTAACGCACCGTTCTCCATTGCTCTCGTGGACGAGTCATTAGCTACTAGTCCTTTGAAATAAGATTGATAAAAACTAAATTATCCATTCAAAATCAACATTATACAAAAGAATTATTGGAGAACATATCTATTATAAAATCATGTTTACAACATCACAAGGACATGAATACAGTAATGGGAATGGTTACCTGCGTTAGGGTCAGCTAAAGTCACCAACACCTGTAGACCTCCTCGTACGATGAAGCTAACGTTGTTCTCATTGAAGGCCTGCTTGATGGCAGGGATACGCTGTGGAAGAAATATAAAACACAACCATCAAATTCACACAATTCAATGACTACCTGTAGGAATGAGTCCAACAATGTCAATTAGTTAGGTAGTGTGTGTGTTTGATAGTGTACCTTATCCACAAACACACTCCTCTTAGCAGGCTTGCTCTCTGGTGGGAGAACGTACAGGTCGGCTGTGGTGGGCAGGCCCGGCTTCACCATGGTTACCAGGGACTCCTGGGGGACACCTGTGATCTGGGGGTCAAAGGTCATGGTCAGAAACGACATCGTCACCTTATGGGACGGGACATGTATCCCATGTTTTTTCGACCATATTTCTACAACATGAGCCTTTATAATAAATTCAGGTAGTCCCTCCTCCATCACCAAATGTTTTCTCCCATTTCATAACTATACTGAACGTGCCTGTCATGTCTATATCAAATAAAATAATTGAACCAAACATATTGAGGCCAATGCAGATGCTATCATTATGTATCCTAAGGAATAGACTGGTCCTGTTATGTTATAGCATCAGGTCATGTATGAGACGAGTACAGTAGAACCACCTTGGCCAGAATCTTGGTGACCACCTGACCCACGTCCTCCCTCCACTCTGGGATGTTGGGGTTGAGGAGGTCCAGGTTACTGCTGAAGGCCAGAGGGATGACCTGGAAACGGTCTGGGATTGGACAGAACACACAGGAAGTCAGCAGCCATTTTGGGTTACGGCATTCAGATGAACAAAAACCTCTGGATTAATAATACCATATTCATTTCTATTGTTTAGATGATTTAGAATAAGTCAACAGTTTCTCACGATCCTACATTCACTTCTTCTGCAGTATGTTTATTCTGTATCAGTTCTCTTGGAGTAAGATAATACAGTACAGTTCTGCTCAGTTAGCATTCTCTCATGAATAAATTAAACTCATCTATATTTGTTAAGATGACATCATTACCAGTGACACAGTTACACAACAGCAACACATGAGCTCATGGAAGACACCAGGGACACAGTTACACAACAGCAACACATGAGCTCATGGAAGACACCAGGGACACAGTTACACAACAGCAACACATGAGGTCATGGAAAACACCAGAGACACAACCAAACAACTAGAGCTATATCATCTATAATAAAAATATTGCCTCATACGATAACATCATAAATAGTTGTACAGCACACAAATAACGTCATATATAAGTATTCATCAGGACTCTTACCGTAGATGCGGACTGTCTTGGTGTCCTGCACCATGGAGCGTCCATTAGAGGCCTGGACAGTGACAGACACCTCTCCTTCCTCAGGGAACCGCGTTATCAGACTGTTCTCCAGGGACAGCTTGGGCTGCATGGAGACACACAATGAATGCATTCATTTATCAATTCACCAAATCATTTATGAACTCTCAACATTAGCTTTAGCACTGTTAGCATCACAAAAAGACAGTGGTGGCATATGGCTCAGATCACCTTTTGAACATTAGTTTCCATAAATCTGCATTTAAAGTATATTACCTGTGGGTTGTGTGTGTGTCAGTATGAATGACCTGTTGGTTGTATGTGTGTGTGTGTGTGTGTGTGTGTGTTTGTGTGTGTGTGTGTGTGTGTGTGTGTCAGTATCAGAAGAGGCTGGTGGGAGGAGATTTAGGAGGAAGGGCTCACTGTAATGGCTGGAAAAATGGAATGTGGTATCCATATGTTTGATGTGTTTGACTCCGTTCCATTGATTCCATTCCAGCCATTACAATGAGCCCATCCTCCTAAAGCTACTCCCACCAGCCTCCTCTGGTCAGTATACATTACCTGTAGGTTGTCTCCTATCCACCAGTAGAAGACAGTCAGGTTGGCCTCTGAAGGAAGCACCACAGCTGTCAGGTTGACTTCCTGGTTAACCCTGGCAATGGGAACTACTTCCAGGTGAACTTCCTGTAGAGGGGCTGTGACCTGGATGTACATGATGGCCTGGTCGTGTCCGGCCATGTTCTCTGCCTTGACGGTGACGCGGTAGACCCCCAGCTGTTCGTAGCGGTGCTGGATGGGCTCGTCTGTCACCGTCAGGTTCTGGTAGATGGCCCTCACCCCGTCACCCAGGTCCACCTGGTACTTAGTGTTGCTGGTGTCACCCTGGGTGAGGGAGGAGGTACAGGAGAAGAACATCACTGAATTGGGCTGATAAATGGGATAAACTAATGCTCTATTTCACGTGTCAAACTCATTCCACGGAGGGCCGAGTGTCTGCATGTTTTCGCTCCTATGAATGACCTGTTGGTTGTGTGTGTGCGTGTGTGTTTGTGTGTGTGTGTGTGTCAGTATCAGAACTCGACTTGATTGATGAATTAAGGTCACTGATTTGTAAGGAACTTCACCTGGTTGTCGAGGTCTTAATTGAAAGGAAAAACCAAAAACCACAGCCCTATTTACTACGAATGTAGTTTGAGGCATTAGCGAGGTAACTTTGGTCAACTCTGAGTTCAACTTGGGATAACTGGAACCACAAAAGTGCCTCACCTTTCAGCCAGATACATCTCTATGGCAACAAATCCTTCAGATCTAACCTGCTCCGGGGCAGACCAACTCAGGGTTAACCTGAATGAAGTATCTGAGCCACGAGTTGAGGACCAATGAAATCAGAATCCCTCCCTCTCGCAAAAAGATTGCTTCATCATCCACTTCATTTGAGGAAGACAACTGAATAAACATTTACTAATCAAATGTGTTTTTGTGTGTTAAGAAATAGTAATACCTATCACATTACACATTTAGTAATGACAAATGAATTTGAAACCTCACGCACATTAAAACCTTTTTATGACTTAATCAAATAATTGTATAGATATGTGTGGGGAAAAAAGGTACTCGTGCATTGATAACCACACCAAAGTAATAAAATATAGACGGTACTTCTAAAAGTCTATTTCACACGATATCCTGGTGAATTTGCAAGATAACTTTTCTTTCATTTTGATTTCGGCAACAAATAAAAAGAAATGGCACTGACTTGCACATGGATTGATGTTTCAGCATTGTCTCAACGAAGTGTTTGGCGTTCGACTAGCCACGTGCGACATGCACGCGCAGTTACAAGCCTGCTAGAGTTAGCGGTAGGCAGATGAGCAATATTCACCATTGTAGTATGGATGAAGCCTGAGCTGGAATGTGAAACTAACTGAAGCTGGCAAGCTTTAGAAAACCCTGAATAGGACTAGCTTGCTTCGTAGTATACCTCTGCAGACACTAGGCCCTCCATGGAATGAGTTTGACACTGCTCTATTTCATCAAGTGTATTTGGTAGGTTGCAGTTATAACTTGTGTCTAATAGGAGTCGTATGTGAGTCGTCTTGAACTTGCATTCGGAAAACAGTGGGTATCTCTTAGCTAGCTATCACAATCACACAGACAAAGACACAAAAACACACACATTTACTCTGCAAAGCCACACACAACTACCCCACCCCCAGGGATTTTTGAGACCCTACACTGCTCTAAATTCTGACTTAAGTAATCCGTACCTGTTCCTGGTGGACGATGAAGGTGATGTCATCACCAGGCGCCACGGCCAGCATCTGTCCCTTGATGCCCAGCTGGAGGCCTCTGGGAGGCAGCAGAGGACAGGTGTGCTGCTTGGCACTCTGCTGCTTGTTCACTCCGCCCTCACACATGTTGGACACAACCTTCCTGTACCTGCAACACAGCACAGGACCGTACCAATGTCAGAAAACAGGGGGACTTGTGATGGGTCAGGTGTAGTTTAGGTAAGGCAGAGTGACTCAAATAATAATTATAGGGAGAGGGAGAGTGGTGAGAGGCAGCGTGTGCGTGTTTGTGTGTGTGTATATGTGTGTGTGTGTGTGTGTGTGTGTGTGTGTGTGTGTGTGTGTGTGTGTGTGTGTGTGTGTGTGTGTGTGTGTGTGTGTGTGTGTGTGTGTGTGTGTGTGTGTGTGTCCATTCTACAATCCCTCACCCAGTGCTGGATTCGAAGTCGTGTCCCAGATGGCAGTCGTCAGGCGGCGAGTCTGGGTCGTGCCAGAAGTCAGCGAAGCATCTATCTCCCTCGGTCTTCAGGCTCTGAGCACGCTCAAACCCAAAGTCACTAATCAAACACAGAGGAAGAGGAGAACGTTACCCCCTAGGCACTGATCTACGATCAGTTTTGAGTTTCTCCCACTAATGGTTAAGGTTAGGATTGGAAGAGGGGAAAACAGATCATAGTACAGTGCATAAGGTTAAGTTCCATCCAGGGTGCAGACAAAGGACAAGGCCAAAGAGCAAATACAGTTCATGACCTCAATGATCGACAGACACCAGCAACACAGACGCCACACAGGCTTCACATAATAGGATCAATATCAATCGTCTAGAGTCTACATACAGCATTGATTGATTCTGTTTATTGTGAATTAATCAGGCTTGGGTCAATGTCATTCTCATTAATCTCAATCAGGAACAGCGTTGAATATTAAAGAGGATCCTCATTGAAAATGCTTATATTGGATTTTCAATTAATCTCCTGAATAGAAAAGGAATCGAAACCTAACCCTGAAAGTGACCCTTATAATTTGTTTATCAAGACTTTATCTGAAGTATATTCTATTGCATTAGAGTGTTCTGGTTGTGGTGTGGTGTCTCACCAGTTGAAGTCTTTCTCGGTGCACTGGCAGGGCTTGGTAGTGAGGGCGGAGGTGTAGCTCTTCCCCTTAATGCAGAATGCGGTGTCCTTCCTCTTCCTGAAACTCCTCTCCTGACCCATGATGCACTTCTCTCCCTGATGCGGGCCAAAAGTATACATTAGCTGATTGAAAAAGTGTAGGATAAACGCAAGATATTTACAAAGACACAGGAATGTTTGTGTGTGTTGGGTACCTTCAGGTCAGTGAGTTTCCAGGAGTCGTAGTCGGCCTCAGTACACTGTCTGGGGAATGACTGTCTGAAGTCCACCTTGACTAGCTCCCAGTCTGACCGGTAACTGATATGACCAAACACCCTGCAGAGAGATACAAGGGTGAGAGAGATACAGGACATGAGAAAGATGCATTTCTACACTGCTCAAATGACAACATCATTATGTCTGTCTGTCTGTGCAAGTTCAAGATTTATTGTACAGTGAAGTGCAGTAATGAATATCAAAATAGTATAACAAAAAAAAAAAAAATATATATATATATACAGTGGGGAAAAAAAGTATTTAGTCAGCCACCAATTGTGCAAGTTCTCCCACTTAAAAAGATGAGAGAGAACTGTAATTTTCATCATAGGTACAAGTCAACTATTACAGACAAATTTAGATTTTTTTTCTCCAGAAAATCACATTGTAGGATTTTTTATGAATTTATTTACAAATTATGGTGGAAAATAAGTATTTGGTCACCTACAAACAAGCAAGATTTCTGGCTCTCACAGACCTGTAACTTCTTCTTTAAGAGGCTCCTCTGTCCTCCACTCGTTACCTGTATTAATGGCACCTGTTTGAACTTGTTATCATTATAAAAGACACCTGTCCACAACCTCAAACAGTCACACTCCAAACTCCACTATGGCCAAGACCAAAGAGCTGTCAAAGGACACCAGAAACAAAATTGTAGACCTGCACCAGGCTGGGAAGACTGAATCTGCAATAGGTAAGCAGCTTGGTTTGAAGAAATCAACTGTGGGAGCAATTATTAGGAAATGGAAGACATACAAGACCACTGATAATCTCCCTCGATCTGGGGCTCCACGCAAGATCTCACCCCGTGGGGTCAAAATGATCACAAGAACGGTGAGCAAAAATCCCAGAACCACACGGGGGGACCTAGTGAATGACCTGCAGAGAGCTGGGACCAAAGTAACAAAGCCTACCATCAGTAACACACTACGCCGCCAGGGACTCAAATCCTGCAGTGCCAGACGTGTCCCCCTGCTTAAGCCAGTACATGTCCAGGCCCGTCTGAAGTTTGCTAGAGTGCATTTGGATGATCCAGAAGAGGATTGGGAGAATGTCATATGGTCAGATGAAACCAAAATAGAACTTTTTGGTAAAAACTCAACTCGTCGTGTTTGGAGGACAAAGAATGCTGAGTTGCATCCAAAGAACACCATACCTACTGTGAAGCATGGGGGTGGAAACATCATGCTTTGGGGCTGTTTTTCTGCAAAGGGACCAGGACGACTGATCCGTGTAAAGGAAAGAATGAATGGGGCCATGTATCGTGAGATTTTGAGTGAAAACCTTCCATCAGCAAGGGCATTGAAGATGAAACGTGGCTGGGTCTTTCAGCATGACAATCATCCCAAACACACCACCCGGGCAACGAAGGAGTGGCTTCGTAAGAAGCATTTCAAGGTCCTGGAGTGGCCTAGCCAGTCTCCAGATCTCAACCCCATAGAAAATCTTTGGAGGGAGTTGAAAGTCCGTGTTGCCCAGCGACAGCCCCAAAACATCACTGCTCTAGAGGAGATCTGCATGGAGGAATGGGCCAAAATACCAGCAACAGTGTGTGAAAACCTTGTGAAGACTTACAGAAAACGTTTGACCTGTGTCATTGCCAACAAAGGGTATATAATTTTTGATACTGTTGCAAAGCTAACTAAAAAGCAGCATTCCCCAAGAGAGGATGGCTTTCACTTCAGCAGTGATAAATTCATGAACTTCTTTGAGGAAAAGATCATGACCATTAGAAAGCAAATTACGGACTCCTCTTTGAATCTGCGTATTCCTCCAAGGCTTAGCTGTCCTGGATCTGCACAGCTCTGCGAGGGCCTGGGATCGGGAGAGACACTTAAGTGTTTTAGTACTATATCTCTTGACACAATGATGAAAATAATCATGGCCTCTAAACCTTCAAGCTGCATACTGGATCCTATTCCTACTAAACTGCTAAAGGAGCTGCTTCCTGTGCTTGGCCCTCCTATGTTGAACATAATAAACAGCTCTCTATCCACCGGATGTGTACCAAACTCACTAAAAGTGGCAGTGATAAAGCCTCTCTTGAAAAAGCCAAACCTTGACCCGGAAAATATAAAAAACTATCGGCCTATATCGAATCTTCCATTCCTCTCAAAAATTTTTGAAAAAGCTGTTGCGCAGCAACTCACTGCCTTTCTGAAGACAAACAATGTATACGAAATGCTTCAGTCTGGTTTTAGACCCCATCATAGCACTGAGACTGCACTTGTGAAGGTGGTAAATGACCTTTTAATGGCGTCAGACCGAGGCTCTGCATCTGTCCTCGTGCTACTAGACCTTAGTGCTGCCTTTGACACCATCGATCACCACATTCTTTTGGAGAGACTGGAAACCCAAATTGGTCTACACGGACAAGTTCTGGCCTGGTTTAGATCCTACCTGTCGGAAAGATATCAGTTTGTCTCTGTGAATGGTCTGTCCTCCGACAAATCAACTGTACATTTCGGTGTTCCTCAAGGTTCCGTTTTAGGACCACTATTGTTTTCACTATATATTTTACCTCTTGGGGATGTTATTCGAAAACATAATGTTAACTTTCACTGCTATGCGGATGACACACAGCTGTACATTTCAATGAAACATGGTGAAGCCCCAAAATTGCCCTCGCTAGAAGCCTGTGTTTCAGACATAAGGAAGTGGATGGCTGAAAACTTTTTACTTTTAAACTCGGACAAAACAGAGATGCTTGTTCTAGGTCCCAAGAAACAAAGAGATCTTCTGTTAAATCTGACAATTCATCTTGATGGTTGTAAAGTCGTCTCAAATAAAACTGTGAAGGACCTCGGCGTTACTCTTGACCCTGATCTCTCTTTTGACGAACATATCAAGACTGTTTCAAGGACAGCTTTTTTCCATCTACGTAACATTGCAAAAATCAGAAATTTTCTGTCCAAAAATGATGCAGAAAAATTAATCCATGCATTTGTTACTTCTAGGTTAGACTACTGCAATGCTCTATTTTCCGGCTACCCGGATAAAGCACTAAATAAACTTCAGTTAGTGCTAAATACGGCTGCTAGAATCCTGACTAGAACCAAGAAATTTGATCATATTACTCCAGTGCTAGCTTCCCTACACTGGCTTCCTGTTAAGGCAAGGGCTGATTTCAAGGTTTTACTGTTAACCTATAAAGCGTTACATGGGCTTGCTCCTACCTATCTTTCCGAGTTGGTCCTGCCGTACATACCAATACGTACGCTACGGTCACAAGACGCAGGCCTCCTAATTGTCCCTAGAATTTCTAAGCAAACAGCGGGAGGCAGGGCTTTCTCCTATAGATCTCCATTTTTATGGAACAGTCTGCCTACCCATGTGAGAGACGCAGACTCGGTCTCAACCTTTAAGTCTTTACTGAAGACTTATCTCTTCAGTAGGTCATATGATTGAGTGTAGTCTGGCCCAGGAGTGTGAAGGTGAACGGAAAGGCTGGAGCAACGAACAGCCCTTGCTGTCTCTGCCAGGCCGGTTCCCCTCTCCACTGGGGTTCTCTGCCTCTAACCCTGTTGCAGGGGCTGAGTCACTGGCTTGCTGGTGCTCTTTCATGCCGTCCCTGGGAGGGGTGCGTCACTTGAGTGGGTTGAGTTACTGACGTGATCTTCCTGTCTGGGTTGGCGCCCCCCCCTTGGTTTGTGCTGTGGTGGAGACCTCTGTGGGCTATACTCGGCCTTGTCTCAGGATTGTAAGTTGGTGGTTGGGGATATCCCTCTAGTGGTGCGGGGGCTGTGCTTTGGCGGAGTGGGTGGGGTTATATCCTTCCTGTTTGGCCCTGTCCGGGGGTTTCTTCGGATGGGGCCACAGTGTCTCCGGACCGCTCCTGTCTCAGCCTCCAGTATTTATGCTGCAGTAGTTTATGTGTCGGGGGGCTGGGGTTAGTTGGTTATACCTGGAGTACTTCTCCTGTCTTATCCAGTGTCCTGTGTGAATTTAAGTATGCTCTCTCTAATTCTCTCGTTCTCTCTTTCTCTCTGAGAACCTGAGCCCTAGGACCATACGTCAGGACTACCGGGCATGATGACACCTTGCTGTCCCCAGTCCGCCTGGCCTTGCTGCTATTCCAGTTTCAACTGTTCTGCCTGCGGCTACGAAACCCCTACCTGTCCCAGACCTGCTGTTTTCAACTCTTAATGATCGGCTATGAAAAGCCAACTGAGAGACCTGAGCCCTAGGACCATACGTCGGGACTACCGGCCGTGGTGACTCCTTGCTGTCCCCAGTCCGCCTGGCCTTGCTGCTATTCCAGTTTCAACTGTTCTGCCTGCGGTTATGGAACCCCTACCTGTCCCAGACCTGCTGTTTTCAACTCTTAATGATCGGCTATGAAAAGCCAACTGAGATTTATTCCTGATTATTATTTGACCATGCTTGTCACTTATGAACATTTTTGAACATCTTGGCATGGTTCTGTTATAATCTCCACCCGGCACAGCCAGAAGAGGACTGGCCACCCCTCATAGCCTGGTTCCTCTCTAGGTTTCTTCCTAGGTTTTCGCCTTTCTAGGGAGTTTTTCCTAGCCACCGTGCTTCTACACCTGCATTACTAGCTGTTTGGGGTTTTAGGCTGGGTTTCTGTACAGCACTTCGAGATATTAGCTGATGTAAGAAGGGCTATATAAAATAAAATTGATTGAAATTGATTGATAACAAAGTATTGAGAAACTTTTGTTATTGACCAAATACTTATTTTCCACCATAATTTGCAAATAAATTCATTAAAAAACCTACAATGTGATTTTCTGGAATTTTTTTTCTCATTTTGTCTGTCATAGTTGACGTGTACCTATGATGAAAATTACAGGCCTCTCTCATCTTTTTAAGTGGGAGAACTTGCACAATTGGTGGCTGACTAAATACTTTTTTCCCCCACTGTATACAGTACCAGTCAAAAGTTTGGACACACCTACTCATTCAATGGCTTTTCTTTATTTTTACTATTTTCTACATTGTAGAATAATAGTGAAGACATCAAAACTATGAAATAACACATATGGAATCATGTAGGACACAAAAAGTGGTAAACAAATCAAAATATATTTTATATTTGAGATTCTTCAAAGTAGCCACCCTTTGCCTTGATGACAACTTTGCAGGTCAGTTTCTTGGCAATTTCTCGCATGGAATAGCCTTCATTTCTCAGAACAAGAATAGACTGACGAGTTTCACAAGAAAGTTATTTGTTTCAGGACATTTTGAGACTGTAATCGAACCCACAATTGCTGATGATCCAGATACTCAACTAGTCTCAAGAAGGCCAGTTTTATTGCTTCTTTAACCAGCACAACAGTTTTCAGCTGTGCTAACATAATTGCAAAAGGGTTTTCTAATGATCAATTAGCCTTTTAAAATGATAAACTTGGATTAGCAAACACAACGTGCCATTGGAACACAGGACTGATGGTTGCTGATAATGGGCCTCTGTACACCTATGTAGATATTCTATTAAAAATCTGCCGTTTCCAGCTACAATAGCCATTTACAACATTAACAATGTCTACACTGTATTTCAGATCAATTTGATGTTATTTTAATGAACCCAAAAATTGCTTTTCTTTCGAAAACAAAGACATTTCTAAGTGACCCCAAACTTTTGAACTGTAGTGTACATGTAAACAGGCCTGGTAAGTGACTGGTAGCAGGAACATATAAATACTTATGGTAATATACTAGTGGTAATATACTGTATACATGTAAACAGGAGTATTAGTGACCAGTAGCAGGATAAAATAGATACAGTTGAAGTCGGAAGTTTACATACACTTAGGTTGGAGTCATTAAAACTTGTTTTTCAACCACTCTGTCGGTCTGTCTGTCTGTCTGGTCTGTCTATCTGTCTGCCTGCCCTGTCTGTTCCTCCATCCACCCGTACATCCATCCATTTCCACATTTATCATCATAGGCTGCGTTTAGACAGGCAACCCAATTCTAATCTTCTTTCCACTCATTTAAGTCTTTTGACCAATCACATCAGATATTTTCACATCAGATCTTTTTCAGAGCTGATCGGATTGGTCAAAAGACCAATTAGTGAAAAAAAAAGCAGAATTCGGATGCCTGTATAAAATTATCCTTTGAGCCCCAACTCCTATTCCTTGAGGTGTGACTCCTGAACCATATCCTCTGGTCCCTGGTCACGTGACACGGCTGAACCAATCCCCTCTCTTGGGAACAGAGCCGTCTGACAGTAGCGTCGTGACATGACAGTGCTCTTTACTCATCAACACTTCACTAATGAGCAGGGATCCACTTGAGTGCTCCTGGAAATGAGACCTTTCTATAGTCCATACTTTGCATATCAAAGACACAGATGTCCCTTTTATTATGATGGCCTAAAAAGCCATTGACTGCTCTGCACAAAATATTGATTTAGTTGATAACTTTAATATCAAATTAAGGGCAACCATTGATGCCATTGCTCCAGTAAAGTTGAAAAAGGCCACATCCAAACAGAGAGCCCCTTGGATGAGTGAGGAAACAAATCAATTAAAGAGAAATTGCAGAAAGGCAGAGCGGAAATGGAGAAAGTCAAAGTTGCTGGTCCATTACGATATTCCGAGAGAGCAACTTGGCATATACAACAAGGCAATTAGAAATGCCAGACTTGCTCATTTTTCTAACTTGATCACTATTAATCACAATCATTTGAGAGTGCTCTTCTCGATCATTGATGGCCCGATAAATCCTACCCCCGCAAACCTATGTGAACTTTCCTCCACATCTAAATGTGATGAGTTTCAGAGATAAGATAACCAACATTAGGCTGGGTATCAGTCAAGCAAGACCTGATGAGAAGTTTAATGATATGTGCCCTAGCCTACCACGCAAAGGCACTATGGATTTATTTTCCCTGCTTGACACAGACATGCTTCTTCAAAACAGTTTTTAATTGCATATCTGAAGAAGTGCAAGCTATTGTTAATCACTCACTTTCCCCATTGCACTAAAAACTGCTATGGTTCTTCAGCTCTTAGCAATTTTCGGCCAATCTCCAACCTTCCATTCTTAAAATTGGTGTTCAAACAGCTAAATGATTTTTGCCAACTGAATTTTTAAAAAATTCCAATCTGGGGTTTTGTGTCCACCACAGCACAGAGACATCCTTAGTTAAAGTGGTAAATGATCTTAGAGCCAACACATATGCCAAACAGCTCTCTGTTCTTGTACTCTTAGATTTAAGTGCTGCTTTCGACACTGTTGACCATGATGTCCTTCTGGACAGACTGGAGAGGTGGGTTGGCCTCTGTTGACCATGATGTCCTTCTGGACAGACTGGAGAGGTGGGTTGGCCTCTCCGATCTAGTTCTAAACTGGTTTTGGACCTATTTAACTGATCAAGAGTTTTTTGTCATCCTTGGTGAACATAACTCAGAGAAAATACATATCACATGTATTTAGATTTTTGGGTCCGGTACTGTTCAGACTGTATTAGTGATTTAAATAGTTGGATGGCTCACCACTTCTTCCAGCTAAATCAAGACCGAGGTACTTATTGTTGGAACCAAAGCACAGAGAGAGAATCTGGCCACACATTTTAATTCAAGGGTAATAAAGATAAAACACCAGGTAAAAAACTTAGGTATTATTTTAGATTCTGAACATAATTTCGTATCACACATTAGGAATGTGACCAAAATAGCTTTGTACCACCTGAGGAACATTGCCAAGATGCTGCCGTTTCTCTCTCAGGCTGATACAGAGAGACTCATCCATGCTTTTATTACAAGCAAGCTTGACTACGGTAATGCTCTCCTGTCTGGTCTACCCAAGAATCCCATTGGTCACTTGCAAAACATACAGAATGCTGCAGCACGGGTACTGACCAAGACCAGATGAAGAGCACACATTTCATCGGTTTTAAGGTCTCTGCACTGGCTGTTTTAGAATACATTTTAAGATTCTTCTATTGGTTTTTAAATCAATCCACAATTTTGCACCCCAATACATGTCAGACATGCTTTTAAGTTATGTACCCAGTAGGTCCCTCAGGTCCTCTGGCACTAGCCTTTTAACTATGCCAAAGCCTAGGACCAAGCCTTTAGTTAGTATGCCCCAAGCCTCTGGAATAGCCTGCCGGAGAACATGAGGGGGGCCGAAACTGTGGACATATTTAAAAGAGATCTTAAAACACATATTTTTAGCTTTGCTTTTCCTTAGGGTTCTTTTTAGTTGTTCAGTTTGTGTCATTCTTTAGTTTTTTTATCTTATGTTAGTTGTGTAGTAAATATTTCAGCTTTTCTTTTCATTGCTTTTTATCCATTTAAGTTGTTTTCCTGTAAAGCAAATTGCATTGTATTCCATGTCTAAAATGTGCTGTATAAATAAAGCTAGAATGTATTTTATTTGATCTGTCTCATTCTGCTCCTTATTGCCCTCCCTCCCTCCCTCCCTCCCCTCCCTCCCTCCCTCCCTCCCTCCCTCCCTCCCTCTCCCCCTCTCCCCGTCTCTCAAGCACGTGAATCACATATGTTGCAAGTCCTTTAAAATAATGTGTCCAGTCACAGTTTTGACCTCCAAAGGCTCTTGTCATTAGTATGTGGAAAAGCCTCTCCCCCTTCCAGCCTGTCCTTGGTGCTAAGTCACTGTTCAAAGACGAAATTAGATGAGAGTCTGCCACCGTCAAAACATTGAAGTCAGGGCTGGAAAATACACCCAGGGCAATCGTGGTTGGCCATCAGTTGTCCCCTACTCGTCTCACTCCTCACCGTATCTCACAGCAGGCAGATGGCGTGTGTGTGTCCCTATGTGGGTGGGATGTGTGTGTGTGTGTGTGTGTGGGGTGTGTGTGTGCGTGTGTGTGTCGGTCTTCCGTGACAACCCAAATCAGACCCATGGCCGCAACTCGGCGCAGTAGAAATGTGTTGTCCTGTTAGCTCATGATTCTGTCCTCTCATGACACCCCCCTCCACCACCCCCATTTCTGCTAAAATGAAAACCCAGGTCTTATCTCCCCCCACTGGGGCCAAAACTCTTGACTTGATGTGCCTCTACTCTCACTCCATCCAATTCACTGAAGATGATTAGATTAGGGGAGAGAGGGAGAGAAATGGAAAGAGAGGGGAAGGGAGAGAGAGAGATAGCGAGAGAGAGAGAAGTAGAGAGAGATGGGGGATAGGGAGAGAGATAGGAAGAGAGAGAGAGAGAGAGAGAGAGAGAGAGAGAGAGAGAGAGAGAGAGAGAGAGAGAGAGAGAGAGAGGTAGAGAGCAACATGAAAGCTGAGAAATACAAAAGGAAGACACTAGGCTAATCAACCACTTAAGATGAAGAGAAGAGTGCAGCAGAAAATCATGGAGAAACGGCCACGTCGTAACTAATGGAGAGTGCATTGGGGAGATGAGAAAACCCTGCTGGAGAGGCAGCTGCTCCATATTCCTTCCTAAGCCCCTTATTGGAGAGCAGAGGAGCCAGGAGAGCAGTGTAGAACTGTGAGCTAAGCAGCATGAGTTGTTACTGAGACTGTAGGATCAATTCTCACTCTCCTGAGTGAATCATTGCCTGGCCATCTCATCTGAAGAATAGGCTCAAGCCAATCAAACCCCTCAGTGTTGAAGTAATAGTGTTAAGAAACCAATCAATGACTTTGTTACAAGTTGAGAGAGTTTTATTGAACTAATGGCAGAGCTTTGGAGAAGAGGTTCCTTGAAATAGGGCCTATTGCCATACTACAAAGCTGATCATTCCCTTCCCAAAATGTATAGCTTCATAGAGGATTCTAGAAGATTCCACGGTACACTTACGTCATGACCAGTGTCTCATCTCCCGGTTCGCTCAGAAGTCCATCAACGAACACTGAGGTGCTGGTGAAGTTGTGGATGGTCCAGGTCCTTCCCTCATCGATACTGAACCTGAGGAGAAAAAACATCAACACAATTACAACAACTCTATGGAAGTCTATAGGTTATTTTCAACAGGCGGCCATCTTGGAAGAGGCATTCATATGAGCATTCTTATTGGTAATGCTCCTCCTAACTAGAAAGAGCGAGAGAGATTTTTTTTAAACCGTTTTATTCAGCAGAACATTGTACAAATGGCAGCAACATGCTGAATTGTGTGTACAACTTACATTTCAATATCAATACAAACTAAAATACAATAAACAACAGATATAGGCAGTGTATCAGTTCCAGTTTAGTTGAGGAGCGGGTCTGGTGTATGCTCACAGACAATCGTTGGGGAGGGAGCATATGGCGGTAGCCAGGGATCGGATTTTAGAAGTGATCTTGTGAAGGATCTTATGAGACTTTCCCTGCGAGTGTGAAGTAATGGTAGGTCCAGATTGGTGCATGCATCTGAGTAGGAGGTGTAGTCTGTGCCCATGATGAGGGTGGAAGCTGTCATTCATAAACTACAGAGTTCTACAGACTTTCCTAGAACGGCCATCTTGGAAAGAGGCAGAAAAGACCCTTCATATTAGTAAAGCTCCTGTCTAGGAGGATGTAATGCTGTCATACATGTAATGAGAGGTAGGATAATCTCCAACTGTGACTGTACCGCAACCTGATTTAAGGACCTGTCATGTCAACATGTAGACCGCATGTCATTGCCAAGATGTTTCTGCGTGAGTTTGTCTTCAAACACGCCGCCAGATGCACACGCTACTGTTTACTTTAAGGAAGGACTTTAAAATTAGAGGATAAAAGTACGGAGAGCTAACCGCTAACTCAACTTAACCTTCTGTGGCTATGGCTCCCGGAATCAACAGGGTTACTTACATAAGTATGGTTATGTATTGGAAAGGAATCATTGTGGGATTGAGTAGCAGACCCATGTCTCCAGTGTATGCAAATGGATGTGCTAACGAGCCAGGAGTAAAACTACAGAGACTCTATAGAGACAGAGATTAGACAATATATACAGAGCGAATGAGAGCCAGACAGACATCCCAATACCGTATACAGAGAGAATCAGCTCGGGGGAATAGTTTGTTGTTGTCTGTCTCAGTTTTGTTTCTCTTTCTCACTCTCTCTTTTTTTTTCTCAATCTCTCTAACACTCTAAGAGCATGTTGAAGGAATAACTTATCCTAAGTGCACAGTTTGATAGTCCTTTAGTGCAGTCTAATGCATTAATAACACACAACTGTGTATTTGTGAATAATGAATGTACACTACAGCTTTCCGTAGCACCAATTTGCAGTTAATCCATACCACATACACACACTATATAAACAAAAACATGACTGCATGAAAATAAGTGTAGATTTACTTGTAAATTCACACAACATTATTATGTACAAGCCCATTCATTTTATTTTACCATCTCATCTCCGAGAATGTAAAATTTTTACATGATTAAAAGCGATATGGCAGTGGTGGGGTAGTACGTCACCCCAAACAACCCCGCTGCTATTTGAGTTAGAGTGATTCAAAGCCAGGCGTTATCTAACATTATTTGAACAAGTGTGTGCAGTGACGTCAGAATATAAAGATCTGCTTCCGTGTTGATACACTGGTGGTTGTTGTGGCTGAGTATTGGCGCTAAACCCTGCTGTTGGAGACCGGCATGCTAGCTGGCTGTGGCGTCTTATGACGAGGTGCCCGGACGTTTTTCACGGAATAATACTGCACCTAGTTAGCTAGCTGAATAAACTAGGTTAGTCTATTCCTAGAAAACATTGAACCGCTGTAGTTTACAACAATTATAGTTTCTGAGGTGGAAGTTGGGAGAGTTATATTTGGGAGTTGTGGTGAGGGAGGCCCCGCTCTCTCCTTTCCCAGATGTTTAGTTCATTTTATTCCGATCTCCTCTGCATTATTGTAGCCATCTGCTGCAGCCTGTCAACTATGCCTCTGCCTATCCCTGTTCTCTCCTCTCCGCACAGGCTACACAAACGCCTCACACCGCGTGGCTGCTGCCTCTCTAACCTGGTGGTCCCTGCACGCACGACCCATGTGGAGTTCCAGGTCTCAGGCAGCCTCTGGAACTGCCGTTCTGCTGCCAACAAGGCAGACTTCATCCCAGCCTATGCTACCCTCCAGTCCCTCGACTTCTTGGCGCTGACGGAAACATGGATTACCACTGAAAACACTGCAACTCCTGCTGCTCTCTCCTCGTCTGACCATGTGTTCTCGCATACCCCGAGAGCATCTGGTCAGCGGGGTGGTGGCACAGGAATCCTAATCTCTCCCAAGTGGACATTCTCAATTTTTCCCCTGACCCATCTGACTATCTCCTCATTTGAATTCCATGCTGTCACAGTCACTAGCCCATTTAAGCTTAATATCCTTGTCATCTATCGCCCTCCAGGTTCCCTTGGAGAGTTCATCAATGAGCTTGACGCCTTGATAAGTTCCTTTCCTGAGGATGGCTCACCCCTCACAGTTCTGGGGGATTTCAACCTCCCTACGTCTACATTTGACTCATTTCTCTCTGCCTCCTTCTTTCCACTCCTCTCCTCTTTTGACCTCACCCTCTCACCGTCCCCCCCTACTCACAAGGCAGGCAATACGCTTGACCTCATCTTTACTAGACGCTGTTCTTCTACTAATCTCACTGCAACTCCCCTCCAAGTCTCCGACCACTACTTTGTATCCTTTTCTCTCTCCCTCTCCTCCAACACTACTCACTCTGCCCCTACACATATGGTAATGCGCCGTCGCAACCTTCGCTCTCTCTCTCCCGCTACTCTCTCCTCTTCCATCCTATCATCTCTTTCCTCTGCTCAATCCTTCTCCCTCCAATCTCCTGATTCTGCCTCCTCAACCCTCCTCTCCTCCCTTTCTGCATCCTTTGACTCTCTATGTCCCCTATCCTCCCGGCCGGCTCGGTCCTCCCCTCCAGCTCCATGGCTTGATGACTCATTGCGAGCTCACAGAACAGAGCTCCGGGCAGCTGAGCGGAAATGGAAGAAAACTAGACTCCCTGCTGACCTGGCATCTTTTCACTCCCTCCTCTCTACATTTTCTTCATCTGTTTCTGCTGCTAAGGCCACTTTCTACCACTCTAAATTCCAAGCATCTGCCTCTAACCCTAGGAAGCTCTTTGCCACATTCTCCTCCCTGCTGAATCCTACCCCCCCCCCTCCTCCCTCTCTGTGGATGACTTCGTCAACCATTTTGAAAAGAAGGTTGACGACATCCGATCCTCGTTTGTTAAGTCAAATGACACTGCTGGTCCCGCTCACACTGCCCTACCCTATGCTTTGACTTCTTTCTCCCTTCTCTCTCCAGATAAAATCTTGCGACTTGTGACGGCAGGCCGCCCAACAACCTACCCGCTTGACCCTATCCCCTCCTCTCTTCTCCAGACCATCTCCAGTGACCTTCTCCCTTACCTCACCTCGCTGATCAACTCATCCTTGACCGCTGGCTATGTCCCTTCCGTCTTCAAGAGAGCGAGAGTTGCACCCCTTCTCAAAAAACCAACACTCGATCCCTCTGATATCAACAACTACAGACCAGTATCCCTTCTTTATTTTCTCTCCAAAACTATTGAGCGTGCTGTCTTTAGCCAACTCTCTTGCTATCTCTCTCAGAATGACCTTCTTGATCCAAACCAGTCAGGTTTCAAGACTGGTCATTCAACTGAGACTGCTCTTCTCTGTGTCACAGAGGCTCTCCGCACTGCTAAAGCTAACTCTCTCTCCTCTGCTCTTGTCCTTCTAGACCTGTCTGCTGCCTTTGATACTGTGAACCATCAGATCCTCCTCTCCACCCTCTCCGAGCTGGGCATCTCCGGCGCGGCTCACTCTTGGATTGCGTCCTACCTGACCGGTCGCTCCTACCAAGTGGTGTGGCGAGAAGCTGTCTCCGCACCACGTGCTCTCACCACTGGTGTCCCCCAGGGCTCAGTTCTAGGCCCTCTCCTATTCTCGCTATACACCAAGTCACTTGGCTCTGTCATATCCTCACATGGCCTCTCCTATCATTGCTACGCTGATGACACACAACTAATCTTCTCCTTTCCCCCTTCTGATAACCAGGTGGCGAATCGCATCTCTGCATGTCTGGCAGACATATCAGTATGGATGACGGATCACCACCTCAAGCTGAACCTCGGCAAGATGGAGCTGCTCTTCCTCCCGGGGAAGGACTGCCCGTTCCATGATCTCGCCATCACGGTTGACAACTCCGTTGTGTCCTCCTCCCAGAGTGCGAAGAGCCTTGGCGTGACCCTGGACAACACCTTGTCGTTCTCCGCTAACATCAAGGCGGTGACCCGATCCTGTAGGTTCATGCTCTACAACATTCGGAGAGTACGACCCTGCCTTACACAGGAAGCGGCACAGGTCCTAATCCAGGCACTTGTCATCTCCCGTCTGGATTACTGCAACTCGCTGTTGGCTGGGCTCCCTGACTGTGCCATTAAACCCCTACAACTCATCCAGAATGCCGCAGCCCGTCTGGTGTTCAACCTTCCCAAGTTCTCTCACGTCACCCCGCTCCTCCGCACACTCCACTGGCTTCCAGTTGAAGCTCGCATCTGCTACAAGTCCATGGTGCTTGCCTACGGAGCTGTGAGGGGAACGGCACCTCCGTACCTTCAGGCTCTGATCAGTCCCTACACCCAAACGAGGGCACTGCGTTCATCCACCTCTGGCCTGCTGGCTCCCCTACCTCTGCGGAAGCATAGTTCCCGCTCAGCCCAGTCAAAACTGTTCGCTGCTCTGGCACCCCAATGGTGGAACAAGCTCCCTCACGACGCCAGGACAGCAGTGTCACTCACCACCTTCCGGAGACATTTGAAACCCCACCTCTTTAAGGAATACCTGGGATAGGATAAAGTAATCATTCTACCCCCCCCCAACTTTACTCCAACCCCCCCCCCCCAAAAAAAAAAAAACACATTGTAAAGTGGTTATCCCACTGGCTATAAGGTGTGGATAAGAGCGTCTGCTAAATGACGTAAATGTAAATGTAATATTGGCAAGGGGCATCCTTGAGTTGGGGCCTTTTGCTTTCCAAGGGGCCCCTAACAGAAAGTGAATCTCTGTGATCTACAATACATACAGTGGAGAGAACAAGTATTTGATACACTGCCGATTTTGCAGTTTTCCTACTTGCAAAGCATGTAGAGGTCTGTAATTTTTATCATAGGTACACTTCAACTGTGAGAGACGGAATCTAAAACAAAAATCCAGAAAATCATATTGTATGATTTTTAAGTAATTCATTTGCATTTTATTGCATGACATACAGTGAGGGAAAAAAAGTATTTGATCCCCTACTGATTTTGTACGTTTGCCCACTGACAAAGAAATGATCCGTCTATAATTTTAATGGTAGGTTTATCTGAACAGTGGGAGACAGAATAACAACAAAAAAATCCAGAAGAACGCATGTCAAAA